TTGAATAGGAAGTCATATACTGGCAATCTAAATGTGACCTTAAAATTGACCTTTGACCTACTTTTCACCATGAACTGAACTTTGCAAATTTTGCTTTCCTTTTGTCTCCAAAACTGGCAGAGATAGGTCCATAGTTACTCTTGAACTTGAATAGATGTCATATACTGGCAATTTACTGTGACCTTGAAATTGACCCTTGACCTATCTTACGAAGAACTTAAATTTGATTGTACCATATATATTTTTTGCAAAAGTTTAAAAATTCTTGTTGATTGCATTTTTACAGCTTGTCAAGCACAAAACTGGTGCCTGTGTCCCTTATTTTGTGTATGTGGGGGTCTATACGAATGCGCTTGCTCCAGCTGGTGGTACAATATTCGGAGGCGGTATCGCCTCTCTGATCCTCTAGTTTCTGAGATAAGGTAGATGCATTATTGAATAATTAGATGCAGGAAATAATTATTATAAACCCTGTCAATATCCAGATCTCTTACAGCTGTCACTTGAACATTTTGACAATTTCAGTTGATATATTAAGAAAAACACCGTATACCTATAATAAAGACCTGCATTTAACACCAAGATATTTGAATTTAAATGAAAAAGGGTGTTCAAGAGCCCTTTTACACAAACAAGGTCAATATTATGAAAAACAAGACCAAAATTGCCTGAAAAAAGTTCTAGATAATAACAGTGTAGAAAAATTATAGCTACTGCTACTAATGGGGTTATTCCAAGTTTCAAGGTGCACTCTATAAACACTACTCAAAGTTTGACCTCCTGTTTTTTTGATAGATGTCAAGAGAAGACTTTGATTTGGAGGCCAGAAGATTGCTCACACGGGAGGCAGGTCAGTATCTTATTGTTGGAACAAATATTTTAAATAATAATTTTAATAATTTGCATCTGGCATGACATCTGTAGGTAGACCAGTTTAAGGATGCTATCAGAAGAGACATGAAGTCCTGTTACATAAGCTGAACCAACTTAAAAATATGCCAAATGATAAAAGTATAAATGTAAAGTGATTTCCAGAATTGATGCAAATATGCTATTGTATTAAAAGGTAGAAAAGTGCCACTTACACACTTTTTTTGGGGGATGGGGGTACATGTTATTGTATACATATATATATATATATATATATATATATATATATATATATATATAATGAAACCTCAGAATATTGATTTTATGTGCAGACACTGTAAATGTTTGTACTGATTTTAGGACAATTCCCTGTCTGTCTAAAAAGTCACTGTCACCATTTCCATCCAACACAATTCTTTGCCCCATTTTGATCTTACAATTGCTCCTTTAAACTTATCTTCCCTAATAAGGATTACCTCAACTTTTTTTCCATCTAAAATATCTGAAAAGTCACTAATGATGGGTTAGATTAATTTTATCTCCTTTTTATGTACACCCCATTTTGGGCACTGCGGCCATAGTGACCTTTTAAGAAAAATCATGTTACTTACTAAGTACACACTAATCTGAATCTTACAGAAAAAAAAACAGAGGATTAAAATACAGCTTCAAGTAAAAACGGTCTGATTGGTTTATTTTTCTGGAAGTTATACAGATTTTGTGAGATATTCATATTTCACATATTGGCATTTTCAAGGTTTGACGTTAAACTTCCAAAAATGTGACTAAACATCCAAAAAAATGGTCACATTTTCTAAATATCTAGGGGTCCTGGGGCATGCTCCCTTGGAAAATCTTTGGGGGCATTCAGAATGAGAAGAGCTGAGTGCTAGCTGGTCCACAGCCTAAACATGAAAGGAAGACCGCTTAATCCTGTACTTACCCTGTACTTGTCTTATACTGTTTTATGTTGTGTCACCTATCTTTATTGTTCAGCAAGAAAATTATGGAAAATTAGTTACATCCAAAAGTGATAAAATATTAAATATGTATCATATGTTGAGCTAAAATCACCTCATTTGAATGATTTCCACATATTTTATATAATGTTAATTTCCATTGATTATATTTTAGTTCATCTTCACAATGAGTTTCTGTTAGCTATACTCACTAGATGTCAGACTTACAGTTCTATGCTGAGTAAGTACTCCCCCATTACATTTGTTTAAGCCTAGTATTGGAAATAAAAGTTCAACTGCATAATAGTGAAAACTATGGTAATTTACCAGTTAGGGCAAAGTATACTGTCCAAGGTAAATGGTAAAATTTGGATGCTAATGAAAAAACACTGGCAATGGCTAAATTTATCAGGAAACAGTAATTATTATTTAATTTTTGTAGTGCCTAGAGATCTGAACTGCTCCAGTCTCGCGTACACACCAGCTGCTAAAGCACTTAGGAAAGAATCTCACAAAATTAAAAGCAAAAAAGCAAAAACAACAAGATCAGCTTTTGTGGTATGTATATTGATGAATTTATTGAACACCTTTTTATTGACTAACACTGTCTGGACATAAAGTCATCACCCGTATCTGATGTCACCTTAACTATACACTTTTTACACTTTGTCAACACATAGTAAAAACCACCTTGCTGTTATTTGGTTGACTTTCTCGTGAAATGGCACTTAAATATTCCTTTCTTCAATATTACCTGTTGTGTAGAGTAGAAATTTGGCTGACTTTGCTGATTAATTATGTTGTACTAAAAAGCATCATATATTGTTGCATCAGAATTGACAGTAGCTTATTTTGTGCATCATTATTTTCTGGTTTTTGTCTGTACATTTGACAGCTTTGCTGCCTTGTTTATCTTGATTTTCAGCAAAGGTTCCAGCCAGCCAGTCCCTTGAACTATAGTTCGGTGGTGCTGCCAGGACCTCCAGAGGAGGAGGGGGCAATCAGTAAGTGACATTTTGCTGCAAGGGGTTAATGCTTTGCAAATAATAGGTCATAAAGTTACACTGAGATAGAGATAAAGCAGCACAGTGATATTAATTTGAAACATCTGTCACAATGATATATCAACATGCATTTTTTACTTTGCCCAAAGCAGACTGTCTAAAAATTACCAATTCTAACGGAATGTTTTAAGAGAAAGAAATGTCAGTTTGTCTAGATGTGTTTTTACATGTAGCCCTCACCTGCCATTACCCTGCACTTTCAGAGATAATACTATTAGCAGAAAAACATTTTAGCTTTTTTCTTTAAACTTACAGAATTCGGGCCGTATTCTGGAAACTTTGTAACTTACTACAATTTACTAGAATAACTATTTACTAGAATTTGTAACTTGGACTTATACGGTAATCTCGAAACTCTTGAAAGTCTTGGACTAACAAACTCTTGTAACTTTCTGGAAGTGACATTTGGTCCATGAATAGCCCACAAGGACATATTCCACTCCCATGCTTTGTTGATAAAATGCTTTTCTAGACATAAAAGTCTCTTGAAATATATTAAGAATCATTTAGAAGGAAGTGCCCCAACATTTTCTTTCAAGTTTTTCATTGGAAAATTCACTCATATTGAATACGTTTCTGCTGGCATACAAGCACAGGAATTGGATTTGGCTCTTGTGGGAGTCCCCAAGCTGGAATTCCCCAAGTTTTCCGCTAGGAAAAAGCACTTAAATTTACATTGAAAATGTTCCAGGATATTGCCTTAAAAGGATAACAACTGTTCATTTTGGCCCAAAAATGAATTTTCCTGGGATAAACAACAATTTTCCCATACTTACCAATGGTTAATGAATCCATTTCTACATTCAAGTTAAGTCCATTTTTTTTTCTAAAAAGTTTTTTTGTAATAATCTTTTAAGAGATAAAATTGTCTTTCAAGAGATTATTACAGAGTATAGCCATCTGTGGTGGTCACGTGGTCCAATGACAAGCTCAGATTTCTGAACAATTGCTATACTGACAGTCAATGAAAACGCTTCAGAAAACTTTCTTGTACTTTTGTACTCTTGTACTTTTACCAAGAATCTATTCCAACCATAAAAACGAGTACAAATGCACTTGTTTGGTCATAAGAGAGTGGGCTGACCACTCGGATGTTTAAAATTTCCGCTTCAGTGATTTTGTGATCAGCTGTTACAAAATCGTATGTTTTTCCTGATTGGTGTGAATTAATCAGATTCGATATATGGTGATTAATTAAGCCTATTTAAGATAGTCACCAAATCCAGTATGACACATGACAAAAAAGTTCTGTGATGCCACATCTGACACTGAAAGAGCAACTGCGGGCCCTGGGGATGCTGGAGGCTGGGCGGAACCGAAGAGATCTGATCACATGACCTTGCATTTTAATGATCTTTTTTTAATTATCTTTTCTGACCTTTATTTCACCTTGTGTGACTGAATAATGGGTCATATTTCACACGAAAACTTATTTTCTTAATGTGCCAAAGGAACTTAAAATATTATTTGATAAATAAATGATGCGTTTTCATTGACTGTCAGTATATAACTGCTGATTTTGTGGTAAAACAGAATGTATTATATTTCTTTGAGTTGTTTACAATGTTTTAATTATGAAATATAGATTCATACAAAGAGTTGTTATCCCTTTACGTATGTAAATTATAGTAAACACTTACCACATTGTTCAAATTTGACACCTGCTGGGATTTCATGCTGTCTTAGGATACCAAAGTCATACAAAAAAGTTAACTCAATTCGTCTATATATATGACATTCAATTAGATATGAAAATGTAATTTTTATCTTAATATATAAACTTTATTTTAAATGGAGATAATAAAAAAAGAGATAATAACTCTTTGTATGAGATCTATATTTCACAATGAAAACATTGTGAACAACTCGTAGAAATATAATATATTCTGTTGTACCACAAAAATATTTGTAGCTATTATTCTGATTTCTGAGCTTGTCTTTAGACCATGTGACCTCCATTAATGGCTATATATAGAAATATAAATATATATTGTTGTACCACAAAAATGGCAGTTATAGCTATTATTCTGATTTCTGAGCTTGTCTTTAGACCATGTGACCTCCATTAATGGCTATATTGACAGGTGTCAGAAAAAAAACTTTTAAGAAAAAAAACAGAGACTAACTTTGAATGTAAAAATGGATTCATTAACCATTGGTAAGTATGGGAAAATTGTTTACTCCAGGAAAATTCATTTATTATTTTTTTGCCAAAACCAAGAGTAATTAACCCTTAAAATGTGAGTCGATATAATTGTTTTTCTGTTCACCTTTGCTGTAAATTTTTTATCATGAGGTGTGAGTAAATGTTATTTTCATATTAAATCACAAATAATAATACAAACGAAGTCACAAATAAGTTGGCTCAACTTTTCAAAAATGACATTCAATTTAATATTAACATGTTATTTTTTAATAAAATTGATAAATTTGATTACTTGATGCACATTGGTATAAATGTGGAAAAAATTTTCTTTATACCTTTGTTGTTATAATAAATAGTGATTATTATTATTAGTTTTTCATGTCAGTAAGAAAAGCAAGTTACAATGTACTGGTACAAATGAACATGTTCGATGCCTCAAAGTCTTAACTTTGCTGTTAAGCATTATGTATTATTACATCAGATTGACATAAAAACCTATTTTGTGCATAATTATTGTCTGCCTTTGTCTGTATACTGGATAGCTTTGTTGCCTTGTTACCTCCCCCAAGGAGGTTATATTTTCACCCCTGTTTGTCTGTCTGGCTTTCTGTCCGTCGGTCATCAACAGAACTCAAAAAGTTATGGACCGATTTTGATGAAATTTTAGGAACTGTCAGAAGTGGGCCAAGGAATAGATGATTAGTTTTTGGTGGTGATCCGGATCAATAATCAATCAATCAATAAAAAAAACTGAGTTATGGACCGATTTTGATGAAATTTTCAGGAACTGTCAGAAGTGGGCCAAGGAACAGATGATTAGTTTCTGTTGGTGATCCGGATCAATAATCAATCAATAATCAAAAATATTGAAAATTTAGGGGTGAAACAGCATTGGATGGAGACTTTGCTGTCTTGGCAGAGGTTTGCGCTCTCTGAGTGCTTTTCTAGTTATTGTACTATAATATTTTTGAGGAATAATGAAAAATATCCACGATGCAAAAACAATATAAAGTAATATATTTTGAGAAATGGGAACATCCTGCACTACCTTTTTATCTGTGTGATGCAGGTTTCTGTACCAGAGAGATGATGTTGCCAGATATTGGCATGGTGCATGGGCGGATGCTGGTGATGGCCTGGGATCAAGGTCTGGAGGACGTCAAAGATGATGCTGTGAGGCTTGTCATGCAAGCAGTAGAAGTAAGAAATGGCAAGAAATAGCATTGGTTTATTATTTAAAATCTTGGTTTTAAAATTTTCTGCTCATTGTTTTGATTTGGCAAGCTCCTTTAAGTCTTCTTTAATCTCATCTTTTTATGCTGTACACAATATATTGAAGGTAAAACTAGAAAGTTGGTAATACTGTTTTCTAAATTTCATATTCATCAACTGATAATTGTATAATTGTTGTCCATATGATATGATTGTTCACAAAAGGCGCTTTTTATTTAGAAACATTGCTGAAATAATGCAGTTGTTTTTAATTATTAAAAACATTTCAGCACCAACTGAAATGTGTTCTAACTGCAGTGTTTTCACAACGTAATGGATTTCAAATGAGAGAAAGAAGATTTAAGCATGCCATGGGCACCCAAGCTCCGCAAGACAACATCAGAAACTCTGAAAGCCTGCATGAACATATATCTGGCAGGTAATTGTCAAATTTTAGTGTAGTGAGGCAGAAAATTAATAGTCCATTATGTTCTAGTACATTTATCTATATTTATATCAAGTTATGTTCCAGTACTGTAACATTTATCTATATTTACATCAAGCTATGTTCTAGTACATTTATCAATATTTACAGGAAGGTACTTAAAAAGTTCTCCAATCTTCTCATAAGTCATTTCATGAGGATTTAGTCGATGTTAATTGTCATTTAATGCCCTATTCAGTGCACCAACTGCTGTATCTAGTAAAGGCACCCACATCCCGTCCATGAAGAGGTCCCTAGAACTTGGTGCAGCTGGGGCATCCTTACAGCTCTCTTGTGGGGGCAGTGAATCTCCAGCCAAGAGTCCAGTGTCTCTATATGAGTTAATGGCTTCATTAGAGGTAAAATAAATTTTAGAATTTAATGAATTTAGTTTTAAGGCCCACAATATTAGGCCTTTGTACCTACATTTTCACCAAATTTTAACTTTTTTTTTCAAAGAGATTGGTGAATTTCACTTGTGAGACAAAATAAAAAATCAAATCTTAAAATAAGGTTTGTATACAGCACACAGTTGTTTTATTTAAGGGATAGCAACTGTTCATTTTGGCCCAAAGATGAATTTTTCTGGGGCAAACAACAATTTCCCCATACTTACCAATGGTTTATGAATCCATTTCTACAATCAAAGTCCCTGTTTTTTTCTAAAAAGTTTGTTTTTATGTTATGGAGATTATTACAGAGTATAGCCATCTATGGAGGTCACGATTTTGTGGTAAAACATATACTAGTATATATTATTTTGAGTTGTTTAGAATGTTTTTTATTGTGATGTAGATCTCATACCAAGAGTTGTTATCCCTTTAATCATATATTATCAAAACTAATGGCAAAATGGCAAATCTTTAAAATGAACTTGTATTTAAATCTATATTTAACATTGACATATTTTTCTCAGGTCTATAGGAGTTGTATACCATCCCATACAGTGTTTGTGACAAATATGGAACGGATAATCAGTAAACTTTGGCATGCCAGCAAAGAAGAAGTTGAACAAGAGTATATTCACAAACAAGAAGTGCAAATAAAAACAGACTTGGCCTCTAGTAGGTTCATTAGGCTATAGCATTAGCCACAGTCCATGGGAATGCATAAGGATGTAATGTTAAATAAACATTTAAAATCGCATGCAAGGCCATTAAGCCTAGCTGAAGTTTTCATGTAGAATTATTTGGTGGAACAGTGTAGTTGTCTTATATTTGAAATAACTGTTGACAGACTGAACAAGGAACAATTTTTACAGATAATCATGATACATAGTTTTTCAGATGTAAGTGATTTGGATATTTTTTAAAATTATATATTTTCACCCAAGACTGTTAATTTTGGCAGGAGTGTCATGCCTAATTAGGCACCCCATCTTGTACAATACTGCAAAGTGAAACAACATACTTAGACAATCATAATTTTCTTGACAGTACTTGACATGCAGGTTAGCATTAAAACTTGCTTTACAAAATACTACTTTGGCTAGGTAAAGTAAAAACTATTTCCATATTGCCAATTTATTACCCTTTTGAACTAGTATTTCTTCTTCACGTTGACGTTAACCTTTTTTCTGCTGTGGTGGATGTCCATTCTCTTTGTAGATAATAAAATAAAAGCATGACCCCAATCTTGGAGTCAAGGTTCCATTAAACAAAGCAGCAAAGCTGTCAAATGTACCAACACTGAGAAAGAATAATCCAATCAAGTTGGTTTGCCAACTCTGTCATTGATTCTTTTTAGTTACAGTTTTCCCTTTTGCAGATTTATAGTGGCAGTAAACAAGATGATTTTTTATCCATTTTGATGAAATATTATATAATACTTAAGACACCAATTTTTATTAATATACTATAATTATCAGTGATATTAAAAAAATGTGACCAGCAAATGTTGATTCCATGGAAGTTCAAAGTCACACTTTGAATATGGTAATCCAATCAAGTTGGTTTGCCAATTTAAGCTCCGTGTCATCTATTCTTGTTGGTTACAGTTTTCCCTTTTGCGGATTTATAGTGGCAGTAAACAAGATAATTTTTTATCCATTTTGATGAAATATTATATAATACTTAACACACCAATTTTTATTAATATACTATAATTATCAGTGATATTCAGAAAATGTGACCAGCAAATGTTGATTCCATGGAAGTTCAAAGTCACACTTTGAAAATGCCAAAATGTGAATAATCCACATTTCATTAAAAATGGCATCACTTCTAAACAAGAATCCAATTGGGCTTTTTTCCAACTCAAAGAGTGTTTTAGTTCTATCATACTTTTCTGTAAGTTTATGAATCAGAAGTGACATGGTTTTTCTCACTAGATGGTTGCTTTAGTGTCCAAAATGGGGTTTTCTTCAGTTTTGGTGCAATGCTACATAATGCTTAACAGCATAATCACCACCAATTTTTAATTATGCACTGCAGGCAACAGCTATTTAGAAAGTGTGGCTAGCAAAGGTCTTCAAACCCATGGAACTTCAAAGACATACTTGAAAAAACCAAACACCAGAGATAACTGTACTAAAATAGCTTTCTGTTTTCAACGCTATACATATACAAAATAACCAATTTACGATCTTTTTCAATTGACATAATCAACAAAATTGTTAAGCTGCAGAAAATGTCAAAAGAACACTTACAAATCTAATTACGTAGTTCAATGGCGAGACTGTTAACATGCCTTAGAATTGAATCTGAGGAAAAACCCACTAATTGAAACAAACGGCATTCAACAATTATAAACAGATCAAGCAGATTTTTGAACTACTCCTGTATTTTATGAATGTTCATCAGTTCTTTTATTTCCAACTAGGCCTGCATTTAATGAATATTCATCAGTTCTGTAAGTTTAGAGACAAACTGTACATCGTTTTTTATATTATTTGTATAAAAAATCAGAAAATAGCATAACTTTTGGGAAAAATGGTCCAATAAAGCTGATTTTATATCAGGGCCTGCACGTTTTCACTGTACTTCAGTCCTGAAAGTCTGAAAACAAAAGGTTAAACAGTTTTCCACTGTTCTTTATGACACAGAGTGCACATAGTGAAGACGACAGACGCAGTGATGGCTACATGTACAGACACATCTTTCATCAACTTTGAAAAATGGCTATGGACCGGGCACTGGCATTATTAAAATAAATACGTATGTAAATAATTATTGTAATTCATCAAAATGCAGTTGGATATCCAGATGATTAACAGTAATGAGACACATTGGGGTATAAAATAACAACAATGAAGAGCAAAGATGACATCACTGAAATAAAAATCTACATTTTCATGACTGAAATTTTTAAGAGGTAAAACTGAGGTACCTCCAGCACGCATGGTGGTTGTACAATTGTGTCTTCTGTTGGTGAGATGCAATAGTTCATAGTTCCACTGACAGTTATATATTTTAAGAAATTTATTACACTGCTCTAAGGAAAAATACATCCTTTACACAAAATGGTATTATACACAAAAAAAGTCTGATTCTCTACTAAAATCTCCATTCTATGAGGTACTTAGTATGCTATCTCCAAAACTCACTCAATTTCTTTTTCATATTTCAACTTCACTCTGAATGCTATGATAATGATACTCTAACATAATGAGCAATTTTTCAAGTGCCCAAATTTTGCAGCTTAATCATTTTATACACATATAAGGCTGCAGAAGAATATATTTCAATTGTACAATAAGCATAGTGAAATGTTTAACTTTGTAATGACTAAGCTCTATCTTGTCAGATTTTGAGCCTTTCTTAAATACACAAATGATACACATGAAAATATCAGCGTAAACATAACATAATGCTGCTGTTGAGTTTGTGTGAAAGCATGGAGAATCTACTAAAAACTTACATGAAATGACATAATAACATGTTCTTGATGGTCAACAAGAGGAACATGCTGTTTATCAAAGTAATGTCAGTAAATGAAAGGGTGGAAGCACCTTGCAGAATGTCTAAACTTAATAGCTTTCCCCTCAAAAATTCAAGATATAAGCAAAAACCTGCTTTATGTTTCATTCACTTATATCAGTATGACAAGTATAATTCAGAATAATGAAAGCTCTTACAATGAACAATCCTAAATGATGAAATTTCTAACTGGATGATGTCTTAATTCCAGTGTAAATACTTTTGCAGATCCGAAATATTCACTGAAAAAAATTCTATATATAAAAGAGTCCAGGAATATTTACTTTTATGAAGTAGATAGATGCCTGGTGGCATTTTAGCCTTAATTGTGAAAATGTTTTGGATTTAATAAAATTCAACACTGGCCACCATTGCTATACATCACTCCTCCATAGTTTGATGGTTTTGTCATTTTCCAATGCTGCTGAGGCAATAATATTCTCTGTAGGATGGCAAGCACAGCAGAGAACCACATCTAAAAAATAATATATATATATATATATATATATATATATATAAACAAACTGATTTAGTCCTACACAGAACTCAAACATGTAACAACCACATTTGCTTTATTGTTCTAATGCAAAAATATTGTGGAATAATATGATGTAACATTACACAAAAAAAAAATCATCCTGCTTATACAAAGTCTTACCTGTGTGCCCAGCTAGCTTCTGTACAATATCCTTGGTCTGGAGATTCCATATATAAACCATATTATCTTCAGAACCGGAAACAATCCACTAGAAAATCAATAAACTGAATATTAAAATATTTGTGTTCTTGCACTTTGTATGCCCTTTTGCCAAAACGTATCTTTGAAAATACTTAATTTCAGTCATCAATAATAATCTGCCCGATTATTACTGGTTGAAGACTTCTACTCCTTCTTCAATTGCAGGTCAAACGAAGATAACAGAAAACAAGGCAGCAAAGCTGTCAAATGTACAGACAAAAGGAGAAGATAATAATGCACAGAATAGGCTAAGTCAATTTTGATGCAATAATACCAGGGGTCAAAATGTTGCTTTCCCACTTACCCCGAGGAAAGCAACATTAATAATTTAATAACGGAGATATTTAAGCATTTAATTTTGCAAATTTTGGACAAGGTTGCATTGTGACTAGAGCCGTGCACCAACAAAGCCCCAAATTTATGTGGATTGAGTTGAGATTATATGTGACCTAAATGTAAGAGATCGGTATGCAAGCGCTTGTAGTCTAGGAGGAGAAGTGGTAACAGTGACAATGACGTGGCCACAGACGAGACGGGTATGGACTATGCTGGTGGTACAATTACCATTAATGTAAACCAATCATGCTGATTTTATTAAACAAAACCAATCAGTAAATTTAACATAAAACAAAAATACGGTTTGGCAAAAAAGGGGCAAATGTCACCAAAATTCTGCAAAAAAACAGAAAAATCATACCGAATTTCGAAAGCAACCTGCTTCTTTACCAAGCAAAGCTACTCAGTAAATTTATAGTAAAATAAAAATAAGGTTTGGAAGTTATTTCTCACATACAGCAACATCAAGAACAAATTCAAGAACTGCCAAAGACTTTAAGGCTCTAATTCAAATACTTTTAAAGTGCTTTTTAGTGTAAATAAGGTTTGAGAATAATAAATAACATCTTTCAGGACAATATAGTAACACACAATGTCCAGTCCATAAGAATTGTAATGTTCATTAATGAAGTGTAAAACTTGCCTTTCCTCCAGTTACAGAAAAGTTGGCAAATATACAATACTTTTCATTTTTGTGGCCGCTGTAAGTCTTCAGGCACTGAAAATTGAAATAAAAAGGAAACATACTATTAAAATATTAATAATGGCAGTGAACGAAGCGCTAGTACTGCAATCTACCTCTAACTGAATAACAACTTTTTATTTTCTTTCACGATAGAAGCCAAACACTGTGACATGAAATTCCATGCTTACCATGCATGGGTTTAACTGTAAAAACTAAAAATCCTGAAAATGTAGCTTATAATTCAAAAATTAAACAAATGTTACCTGTAAGTTGATGTTTGATTGTAATTCAATGAGACAATTATAGGACAATTATAGTTGCTTTCATGTGAAATACAGAACCTAATGATGTAACAAGCTACTGACAGCCATTACCTTCCCTTTGCTGTAGTCCCACAATTTAAGAGTGTTGTCTAATGTTGCTGCCAAGATGTACTTTCCATTGGGTGAAAATTTGACAAATGACACTGGTGGATTATCATCATCTGCAAAATAGCTTAGACTTTTAGATTATAATTGATCTATTCACTATTCAATATAAGCTGTAAAGATTTTGAGGAAAACCTAACCTAGAATAACAGAATTTTGAAATATGGCAGCTTAATTTGACTTCTACTTTAGCTGGTTGTTACAGACTTTATAATATATTTAAAACAAGGCAGCAAACCTGTCTAATGTACAGACAAAGAGCAGAAAAAAGATGCACAAAATATGTAACTGCCAATTTTGCTAAACATCAAAGTGAACAACATATTTTTATAAAGCACCATAAGTAATTTGGATATAAATTAAACTGTGTAACTAGCATGAGGCTTGAGGCCCACCAGTTCTAGTTTACACTTTAAAAATGCCAGAATGAGAAAAAAATGAAAATATCACACAGGATTGCACAAATTCTAGAACAAGGCAGCAAAGCTGTCAAATGTACAGACAAAAAGTATAAAGATGCAGGATAAAGGTCACTTTGTCATTTTTGATACAGTAATAAATAATGCTTACAACAAGTAAGATGGTCAATAAGATTAGTTTCAGGACCACTAGAGACAATATGCCTTGAAATGTGTTTTCAGTGTTGCATATATGCTGAAAAAAGTGAAAAAAAAAAAAAAACAACAACACAACTTTTAAAAAAATGGCCCGATCATGCTGATTTCAAACTTGACCTATGTTTTATGGATNCAATTTTCCCATACTTACCACTGGTTAATGAATCCATTTTTACATTCAAAGTTAGTCCCTGGTTTTTTTCTAAAAAGTTTGGTTTTTTGTTAAAATCTCTTAAGAGATTTTAACAGAGTATAGACATCAATGGAAGTCACGTGGTCTAAAGACAAGTTCAAATATCAGAATAAAAGCTATAACTGCTGTTTTTGTGGTAAATCAGAATATATTATATTTCTATGAGTTATTTTCAAGGTTTTTATTGTGAAATATAGGTCTCATACGAAGAGTTATTATCCCTTTAACATAAAACAAAAATACGGTTTGGCAAAAAAGGGGCAAATGTCACCAAAATTCTGCAAAAAAACAGAAAAATCACTGTAAATGTAAACCAATCATACCGAATTTCGAAAGCAACCTGCTTCTTTACCAAGCAAAGCGACTCAGTAAATTTATAGTAAAATAAAAATAAGGTTTGGAAGTTATTTCTCACATACAGCAACATCAAGAACAAATTCAAGAACTGCCAAAGACTTTAAGGCTCTAATTCAAATACTTTTAAAGTGCTTTTTAGTGTAAATAAGGTTTGAGAATAATAAATAACATCTTTCAGGACAATATAGTAACACACAATGTCCAGTCCATAAGAACTATTTGTAATGTTCATTAATGAAGTGTAAAACTTGCCTTTCCTCCAGTTACAGAAAAGTTGGCAAATATACAATACTTTTCATTTTTGTGGCCGCTGTAAGTCTTCAGGCACTGAAAATTGAAATAAAAAGGAAACATACTATTAAAATATTAATAATGGCAGTGAACGAAGCGCTAGTACTGCAATCTACCTCTAACTGAATAACAACTTTTTATTTTCTTTCACGATAGAAGCCAAACACTGTGACATGAAATTCCATGCTTACCATGCATGGGTTTAACTGTAAAAACTAAAAATCCTGAAAATGTAGCTTATAATTCAAAAATTAAACAAATGTTACCTGTAAGTTGATGTTTGATTGTAATTCAATGAGACAATATAGGACAATTATTGTTGCTTTCATGTGAAATACAGAACCTAATGATGTAACAAGCTACTGACAGCCATTACCTTCCCTTTGCTGTAGTCCCACAATTTAAGAGTGTTGTCTAATGTTGCTGCCAAGATGTACTTTCCATTGGGTGAAAATTTGACAAATGACACTGGTGGATTATCATCATCTGCAAAATAGCTTAGACTTTTAGATTATAAATGATCTATTCACTATTCAATATAAACTGTAAAGATTTTGAGGAAAACCTAACCTAGAATAACAGAATTTTGAAATATGGCAGCTTAATTTGACTTCTACTTTAGCTGGTTGTTACAGACTTTATAATATATTTAAAACAAGGCAGCAAACCTGTCTAATGTAAAGACAAATAGCAGAAAAAAGATGCACAAAATATGTAACTGCCAATTTTGCTAAACAGCAAAGTGAACAACATATTTTTATAAAGCACCATAAGTAATTTGGATATAAATAAAACTGTGTAACTAGCATGAGGCTTGAGGCCCACCAGTTCTAGTTTACACTTTAAAAATACCAGAATGAGAAAAAAATGAAAATATCACACAGGATTGCACAAATTCTAGAACAAGGCAGCAAAGCTGTCAAATGTACAGACAAAAAGTATAAAGATGCAGGATATAGGTCACTTTGTCATTTTTGATGCAGTAATAAATAATGCTTACAACAAGTAAGATGGTCAATAAGATTAGTTTCAGGACCACTAGAGACAATATGCCTTGAAATGTGTTTTCAGTGTTGCATATATGCTGAAAAAAGTGAAAAAAAAAAAAAAAAAAAAAAACACAACTTTTAAAAAAATGGCCTGATCATGCCGATTTTCAAACTTGACCTATGTTTTATGGATATTCATCAGTTCTGTAAGTTTTAAGCCACAAGGAAAAATGGTTTTCCACTTATCGTGTTATGAGTGTTGCATATATGCTGAAAAAAGAGAAAAAACAGCACAACTTTTGAAAAAAAAATGGTCCAATCATGCCGATTTTCAAACCTGACCTGTGTTTTATGCATATTCGTCAGTTCTGTAAGTTTTAAGCCTAAAGGTAAAGTATATATATATATATATATATATATATATATATATATATATATATAAAATAGACCTACAAAGATAATTTTCAATTCAAACTTGATCTGTATATAAGTTCTATGAATCAGCAGGGTATGAAATAAGGACCGTTCGACAGCCCAGGACGGCTCAATTATCGCCCAGGTGGTCTCTTTCCAAAAGTTGCCAGTCTGGCCATTTTTCTAGCCTCTATAATAATTGTATATCAATATGTGCGTTCATATCAAAGTCATAATAACTCTTCTTTTTGGCCAAAAATTGGATTTTCCTTGAGTAAACGGCAATTTTCCCGTACTTACTAATGGTCAACGACCCCATTCCTGCATTCAAAGTTAGTCCAGGGTTTTTTTTTCCTAAACGTTTGGTTTTGTACATGCTTAGGCCTATTCACCGTTTACCCGGCATGCCTAGCGCAAAAACCCTTCACCATGTTATATGAAGCGTCTGATACAAAGTATCAAACGCAGCATTCACATGCTTGTTAATGAGACAAATAACGATGTGTGGTCATTCAAGATCAGAACAACACAATCTTGTCTAATTGCGCAGTTTAAGTTTTGATTCTTCCATAATGTGTTATTGTAATTTTCTTAACATTTACACTGACAAGACGAGGTCAGAAATGTACAATGTTTTCCAATTTTCTAATTATGCAGTTTCAATTTTGATTAGTGAATTTTCTTTAATCTGCATGGTCATTTTCTGAACATTTGTATAAGCTACAAAATATTTCTCATCGGAAAATCACCCAGCAGCTTTCCAAGTACAAGTAAGTGACATCACGACACATTTCCGGTTCTCGTTGAGATCTTGAAGGTTACGGTTTGCTGCACAAAGCATTCTATCTCAAAATATACGCAGCTGCAGCTCGATTTCTTGAAGGGCAAGTCTAAGCTATACGATGTCTTTCTCATAAAAATGTATAATTGAATGACGTCACGACGTATGGATGGCATTGAGAAGAGTGACCTACATTTGGTACAAAACACATGTAGTCCCAAAACAAAGTCTAAGCAAACTTACCGCCAAATTACGAAAGTGAACACCTTCCAGAATTTCACAAGACAAAATTTATTCACATAACAGGCTGACTACTGAATATTTATTTGGTTAAAAATCTACATGCTCTAGTAATACAGGCCATTCTTAAAATAGAAACTATACAAAATGTGCAAAGGACAGGTGCTGATAAAAGTAAGTGTCTAGCCCTGCAAAAGGAAAAGATCAGTTGTGCCATCATGGAAAACTGAATTTTCTTGGTTAATTTGTGATGAGACTGATAGTAAAAACGTCAAACATTTTTTGCAAGACCTGTCGAAGTGTATTTGCACTATTGGTTTCTAGGCAACAACCAGAAAGATTTCATAAGTATGCCCGTGGAGCGTTTGTAACAGGTGGGTCATGCAACCCAGACTCTGATTATGACAGTCACAGTGAATCAGACTTTTCCGATTTGGGTTCAGAGCATAACTTTTCAGATGCTGACAGTGAAGAATCTATTTGAATAAATTCACTTTGAGACTAAGAGTCCTTGTTTTAATATCGTTCTTGCCTGCAATTGGTTTAATCAGGTAATTTTCAAAAAATTCAGGGCTGGCTACTTTTGGTCAGGGCTGGCTACTTTTCAAAGTTGCCAGCCCTGCTGTCCGGCTTCAAATTTATACCAAATTTCATATCCTGGAATAAGTCCTGTTTTCTGTATAATGGTGGATGAAATATGCTGAAAAAAGTTTAAAAACAGCATAACTTTGGAAAAAATGGCCCTATCATCCTGATTTTCAAGCTCAACTTGTACTTAATTAATATTCATCAGTTCTATAAGTTTGAAGCCAAAAAGTCACATGGTTTTCCACTGATTGTAAAATAAGTAATAAGTGAAAGTGCATGGCAATGGCAATGACTGACAGAGGTGACAGGTATATGTACAGACACATGTGTCTGTACCTAAAAAGCATTTATCTATGAAAGAAATATCTGAAATTATAATTAAAGATGTCATAATAATAGCTTACCAATTAAAGTTTTTAAACACTGGCCTGATGCGGTATCCCATATACGGCTAGAGTTTTCCAAAAGAGATTAAAAAAAATTTAATTATTAGAAAGAACCTGAAGTCTATGGCACATGAAGTTAACTGAAAAATGAACATGCAAGTTTTTCTGATAGAATATACACAGCGTCCAGCTGTTATTTACCATATTAAGGCCATTCCGTTGGCAATCTTCACCATCACTAACACCAGACCACGGTTCAAATAAATCCAGATTGGGATTTGGGCGGTACTGAGACAAACTCTAAATCACACTCACAGTCCAGAACAGATGTTTACATAAGAAACTAATGCGCAAAAAAAGGGCAATTTATCATATTTTGCAGGTTAATCATAGTACTGTCACACATGCAGACGCATGTTGTGTTTTTCTTTAGGAAATATTTCTTTCTGTGTATCTTCAATATTTTATAAAGCATAGCAATCATCAATACTTATACTCCTGCCAAATGGTTCATATCATCACTTTTTTTATTGCAAACAATAGTGCAAATGCTTAACAGGAAGTATGATTGACTAGAGCGGAGCAATTGTTGCCCAAAGTAGTGTGAATGCAAGCAAAGTGGGTTTTTTCGACTGCAGTTTTATCGGGGGATACTGAACTGCGGTTTGCTTAATAGTGAGAATGGCCCAACAGTGACATCCCCCCTCCCCCCAGCTATATCAAAACAGTCCAAAAATGACAAACAATGATGAAAGCGTACAAAACATTTTGTCAATTTTTCTGCAACATTATATAATGCTAATAACACTTGCACAAACAATTTTGATAATGTACTACATACTGTTACTGAGGCAATACTAAATTGCTAAATCAAAGGCCTTAAGACCAATAAGAATTTAATGTCACACCTGGAAAATGGCAATTTGTGAAAAATGAAAAATTCATAAGACACTGTTTTTACAAGGAAAATGATCTTATTAGGATCTTTTTCAAATGCCTGCTGTATGTTTATCCTGTAAATCATTCCTGTATGTTTAAAAATAATAAGTTACCTGTTTTTTCTTATGCACTTTAGTATTTACAATCTGGTAAATATCTGGCAATATCAACAGTACCTGTCCATGAGTTGAAAGTATATTGGGAAATAATAGGTCATGTCCAGCTTTGAACTTGACTGCTAATTTTTTACATTAAATAATCCCTGAACGTGTTTTCCATTATTGCAGTAACAAGACATAAGCACAGCTATAAACACACACACAGACACAATTGTGCTTTAGCAACTTAAAAGTCAAATATTTACCACAATCCATCATAGCTACTGGACACAATTAGAGAACCATCTCTGTTAAAATGGACAGCAGTAACTGGGTCAGAGTGAGCTGGCAGAGTTTTTAAGCACTTCCCTGTCCGCACATCCCAGATCCTGACACTTTCATCAAACTACAAAGAAAAACAGAAAAATATGCACTAAGGAAGTATCTCAACTCAAACTCCTGGCTATCCACATTATATCTTAATGTTCACATTTTCTATTGCCAGTTTGACAAGCCTGCCTAATTATTCAAGGAAAAGCCTGAAGGTGTCCCATCTCTACAGCTTTTTACCCCTACCTAGAAAGTTGTTTTTAGCTCTATTAGCTTGTTTGTTAGTTCAGAATAATTACTGTATATGTAAACCGCTCATGCAGATTTTTCGAAAGCAACCTGCCTCTTTACCAAACAAAGCAAGTTTAACGTATAATAAAAATACAGGGGCCGGTTTCACAAAGCAGTAGTTAGTTAGCGATCGGTAGTTAGCCTCTCGCTAGTTATAGTGCCGTTTCACGAAGCAGTCGCTAGTTCTCTCGCTCGTTATTGTCTCGTTGTTACCATGGATATTTAACGACTGGTCAGAGCAGTCGCTAACTCTAGAGTTTCATCGTACGCATGCGTAATGAGTGAAATAAAAAGGTTGCTTAGTTACCATTGTTTGTCGTTTGTCTTTGTATCCAATATGGCGGCTACCTTTCTTGCTATCCGTACCGCCAGACGGCAACGTAGACTACGACATTTTCATGAAAGGCAGAATCTATTATAATATACATACGATGATGCAATTTACGAGAGGTTGCGCCTAGCTGTGACAAAAAGAGCGGCAAAAAGGTGGTGGAGATTCTTTACGACGACCTCAAAGCAGACGTTCTTATGCATTTCCAGCCACCAAAAATTGGAGAGTTAGTGCTTTCGTGACACTTTTACGCAAGAGTTCCACTTCCGGCAGACGGTTTCGAGACTACGGTGAGTAACGAGAGAACTAACGACCAAACTTTACGGCTGAACTTAGCGATGAGTTAACTACTGCTTCGTGAAACACCCCTCGAAAATCGCTAAGTTTGCTCGTTAGCGAGGTAGTTCAGTAGTTAGTTGTTCTAACTAACTACTGCTTTGTGAAAACGGCCCCAGTTTGGCAGTTATGGGGCAAACATCACAAATACTTGCAACACACAGAATAATTACTGTAAATGTAAACCGATCATGTGGACTTTCAAAAGCAACCTGCTTCTTAGCCAAACAAAGCTACTCAGTAAATTTTAAGTATATAAACAATATGGTTTGGCAGTTATGGGGCAAACATCATGAGTTGGACAGCAATGGTGACGGCACGGACAGACAGACCAATCTGAATATAAAAATTTAACTTTCTGTTCAGGTAGCTTTAAGTGTCTGTATGCATGCAGTTATAAGGTGAACAACAGATGTGTTAGTGACAGTGGTAACTATCACAATGTGATCAGAATATATATATATATATATATATATATATATATATATATATATATATATATATATATATATAAAGAGACATGAAGGGTACTGCAGATATAGACACAGATATTGTTGACTACTTACTGATCCAGAGACTATAAGGTTTGATTGAGGGTTGAAGTTACAACAAAACACATAATTGCTGTGTCCTTTTAAAGTCTTTAAACACTTGCCCTGAAATGGATAAAATATAATTTCAGTGAAAATATGCTAAATTTCAAGCAAAATCACTAAGACTGGGCCTCGACCTAACAGGACCTATTTATCTCCAAGGGGTTTCTCGCTTAAATGCTTTCGGCTTGAGTGGCTTAGATGCCTGGCATGCCTACTGAAGCTGATAAATGATAATTAATTACACTTTAGCAGCTCCAGTAGGCGGGAGAGACATTTAAGCCGCTCAAGTTGATAGGAATTTATTGAGAATCTTCTTGGAGATCCAAAGTTAGTATGATAGGGGCTGGGAACGGTCCCCTAAACAGAGCCCGTCTTATAACCTTGATATCACTAAAATTAAAGGTTTTAAAATATCAACATAAAATAAATCACTAAAACTAAATTTCACAGTAAGTTAAATTTAACAACATGGAAGGACGATTTTAATATCGATTATATTGCAAATTGTGGATTGCTAAATTAAAACATCTACAGTTTTCACACACAATAGCAAAATCGTCTTATATCAAAAGTTACCGTGGCAACATCCCATATTTTGAGTGTTTTATCATCTGATGCACTACATATCAGCCTGCTGTCCGTGGACCAAGCTAGGTCAGAGATACCCTGGATATATGGAAAAGAACATAGTTACAGGTGTTGTGCCAGCACAATCACCATACAATATTGCAGTTTGACATTCAATAACTACAGGATCAGAGATGGGATACAGCCTCTGGGTACAGTACCACCAGCTGGAGAAATTGCATTTGTATGGAAAACAAAAAAAAGGGACATAGTTAGGCGGCTAAGCCAAAAAATTGTGCAAAAGTTGATAAAAGCATGAAACTTTCCATGGTGAATGACCATTGGGTGTTTGTCAATTTTGGATCGGGGGGCAACTCCAAAATTCACAAGTACCCGGATGAGCAGCTTTCTTAAAATATGCTGACTCAGCATTTTGTGTACATCCAGAATTCACGTAAACGAGCACTACCGGCGTTAATTATGATAACATGAATAAATTTGAGAAACGTACACTAGCTGTAAACATCAATTACAGCAATGATGACGTCATGATGGCGTCACTGGGTGCTACTGCAAAATACAAAATGACAAATACCCACTCACTCACATATGCCAAATAGTCGAACCCTGCAATGATCTTTCCTGTAAACATTCCTTACAGAAATGCATCCTTGAGGGCTAGAAACGTTGAGTTGGCTTGGTTTCTACTTCCGAGACTTTGAGCATTTTCAATATGGCCGTCAATTTTTAGAGAAAATAGAAAAACAACCAAGAGTTGACAGATATAATTTATTTGTGGCTATTGTGAACACATTTCCCGTCATAAAAACACAGTAGGATAAATGACTGCATACTAGCATGTTTCTGTTATTGAAAAATCAAAATGGCCGCCAACGCATACAGCAGAGGATGAAGAATAGCAGTATAATCAGTCTATTACTTTTATGATTAATCTAATTAAAACTTTGTATGCCTTCGATTTTTCTGTTCATTTGGATTTTAAATTAGCCATGATCCTTACCTATCATTATCAGCTTGTTTGACACTCAAAAATAAAAGGAATGAAATGAAAAAAAAGTAAGAATAATTTTCAAAGGAGGTTGGTATAAATAAAAATATTTGAAAATAGTATAAAACATATTTTAAAAATCAATTACGAACTTAATTTGGCAATTTCTTTTTGGTGGGAGTCTGAACTGCTAGAGCACGTTTTAATGTAAAATAAACATTCAGTAGTCAGTTGTTACCATCTCAACCATGTGAATAAATTTTGCTCTTGCAGGGCTAGACATTAGCATATTTCACTCAGTTGCGAATGAACGCATCCTAACCACCGGGTCTCCCCCTGACGATCTTCCACTAATGAGGCCCTCGAACAAATATTCAAATTGCCTTTTCTTTTTGCTCGGATCAGTAACTATCTCCCGCTAACGATCTTCTGCTGACGAAGTCGCTAAAACAAATATGAAAAAAAAACCTTCTTGTCTCGCTCGGATCGCTACCGATATTCCGCTGACGATATGAAAAGTGCTTCTTCATCTCATTTGGATCGCTAAAGTCTAAATGACATTTGCTACGGACCGTACAATGAACTCATACACGTTTTCTGTGGGATTTTTATGACATCGTAAATGGCTAAGGGCAACGGCAATTACCTCTACAGTACATGCTTGTGCCATGTCTTGTCGCTAATATGAGCTTAAGCCTGGGTCCCAACTCCACGCATGATTTTCAGGACGTACGGTTTTTTAGGTTCCTCTCGTCTGGCTGGGCCGTAGCTAGATCGTAGGGAAGAAATCAAGTAACTGGTGATTGTAATTAGTGCGCAAGAAGAAAGTGCGTGGACAGTACCTGAGAAGCTCAGCCTCCGCACGCCAGAAGTATCTCTGCATCCGACTGGCTTTAGCACGTGTCCCTCATCGTGCACTACGTACGTGATGCGTACAAGGAATACAGGCAACGCAAGGGCAACGCAAGTAGACGCAGGGCAGCCTTGCTGGCTTCCTATGGTTGTTGCTCGTCCTTTGCACGGGAATCTTACGTGTTGAGATGTTTTGGGGGAGGTATAAAACAGGTGCATGTTTGAGAAGGTCATTATATCCGCAGCAGTGTTCAAAGATGGTGAACCCAATCATACTTTGCTTGTCCCCTCTCCCCCTCTCCACTCTTGCTCTTTGCTGCCTCTTTAGGCATTTTTACAACTTGGCATCAATTTTTTGGCCGTAGACCAGACGTAGAAGCCCGTATGTTGGATTGGGACCCAGGCTAAACGATATGTACCATTGGTAGAAGGAAACGAAGGCATCGCCCGCTGACGACCTGCCGCTGACGAAGTCCTTTGCACGGATTTGAAAATTGCTTTCTCGTCTCCCTCGGATCCAAAACAACCACCTGCTAAAGGTATGAAAATTGACTTGGCGTTTGGGACCGACCGCTGCTAATCTTCCGCGAACAAAATCCCTTGAATCAATATGAAAATTGACTTCTCTTCTCGCTTGGATTGCAAACGATCTCCCTCTGATTTGTAAATTGGCTTCGCATCTTGCTCCGATGGCGAATCACCTACCGCCGACGATCTCCCGCAAACGAAATCCGTACTTGAACGAATATGAAAATTACTTTCTCCTCTGTCGGCGCTGTCAGGTGCTGCTTGAAGGTCTGATAGGTTTCAGCTTTCAAAATTTAACGACAAGCTTGCTAAAAAATCTAATAAAAGTTGGAAATGCCTAGCATTGGTCAGCGGCCTTATTTTTCAAACATTAAGGGGTTGCTGCTGACATATCAGAGATGACAGCTGATAAACGGAAGAAGAAATTTGACGAACATATTTCCTTTCCTCTTTGCACCAATCTGTTTTATTATGTCGCCTGCATTGACCACAGGCGTATTGTTTTACTGACATACAATGTACATGCAGATTTCATTCGTTTAAAATCTTTTTCAGCTGAAAAACATAATTTACTATCTTTTTACCTGCCTTTCCCGTGCCGTTTTGGTGGCTATTTTGCTATTTCTATTAAAATGACTTGCAGATTATGTGAAAGAAAACCCTAATAAACACCACCTCTGTATTTGTAAACATGTAAATAAATAGACATTAAAATGAAGAATCTTCACGCACTGTATATAGTTTGATGTAAATTGCTATGAATACTTACAGTGTATGTAATTTTGCGTAAAAATTGGCAGCCATTTTGGGTTACGAAAAGTGCCAATGTCCCAGAATTTAGAAAAGCCAAGCTAAGTCGACTTTTCTGACCAAAAAAGGGGCATTTCTTTTTCAAACAACTACAGAAAGCAACATAGTATTGTTCAACTATGGGACCAAATAGATTGGTAACCTGACTACTTGGAGGGCTTACACCCTCACCACACAAGAGTTGAATATTAAACAAACAGATAATGGTAGTGTAGGATAAAAGCTAACGAAAAATCACGATGAACGGAAAAATCAAAGAAGAAGATGCCGTTAATTAGACTGATGATACTATGAAATATGCTGATTTTGCTGATTTACTTTACCCTCTGCCTCTACCCTATGTTTTGGCGGCCATTTTGTTTTTTATCAGTAACAACGACGTGGTAGGATGTAGTCTTGTGCCCTACTGTGTTCTTCCGATATGAAACACATTCACAACAGCCACAAATATAGTATATGCGTCGACTTCTGGTTGTTTTTCTGTTTTTCCTCAAAAATTGACGGCCATATTGAAAATGCTCAATGTCTCGGAAGTAGCAATCAAGCTAATTTTACCTTTCTAACCCTAAAGGATGCACTTCTGTTATAAAAATTACGGAAAAGAAACATTACAGAGTTTGACTATTGTTCCTGTAGGAGAAAGTGGATATTTGTCATTCTAAGTTGTGCAATATCACCCAGTGACGTCATCGTGACGTCATCATTGCTCTCATAGATGTGCACAGTGAGTGTACGTTTTTAAAATCTATTTATGATATCATAATTAGTACTGATAGTGCTCGTTTTGATGAAATCTGAATGTACATAAAATGCTGAGTCAGCATATTTAAGAAAGCGTCTCATCCGGGTACCTGTGAATTTTGGAGTTGCCCCCCGATCCAAAATTGACAAACACCTAAGGGTCATTCATCGTGGAAAGTTTCATGCTTTTATCAACTTTTGCACAATTCTGGATATAATTTGGACTTAACCGCCTGACTAACAGCACCTCCAGTGTTGTGCTTGACATGCTCTACAAAATGCAGTAAATGCAAAATGCAGTATCTTTGCTCTGGACTTATAGCAATGTGCCATGAATTTCGTACATATGAAATTAATTGAAATAACTATAAGATTGTTTTGTTCGAAATTTATGAAATGGGACGTGCTCAGAAATTCCAGATGTTTGAATTTCATGAAATTCTGTCAATTTTGACCATAAGTTGTCTGTCCCTTGCTACGAGTTTTGTTATCTTTTCCTCACATTCAAAATTTATGGCACATTACCATATTCACATTTCATTTTCACCACCATGTTATACTTTTTGATATAAAGGTCAAATCCAAGGGCATATTTGGAATCTCCACATATGACTTTTGGTCAGATGGGACAGAAGGGACAATTATTTTGTTATATGACAAAGCAAAATATTCTACATTTGTAAAATACTTTGCCTCAGAATATCCAAATATATTGCCATACTGCAACCATGACATGCTCTTTAAATTAAATACGTACCAGCTTATGTCCACTTATCGTCTTCTCAAACTTTCCATCATAAGCTCCCCATATCTTTATCAATTTGTCTGCAGCTGAAAAAAAGTAAAAACCAAGTTTGATTATAGGTGACCTGTATGGATTTACTCACCAAAAAGAGTGTTCCTGGGTAAAGAGCCATTTTCTCCGACTCCGGAATTATTGCTTAACCAATTCATGCACTTGGATTCAATATCTTATTTCATTTTTAAATATAAATGAGAATCCCCTCTGATTGATAGGGTCTGGGAATGGTCCCTTAGTAGAAAAAAAGCATTTTAGAAAACCCTACCTGAATATGCAAAAATGAACTGACAAATCTGTGTCACATGGTACTGTGACAACATACAACCTGAGCTACATACTGAATACAGTGAAGTTAGGGAAGGCTATGTTAAAAGGTGTTAGACAATTTTGATTTGTCTCAGTGTGTTGCTGTGGGCTGCACTAAAAAAAGCAGCAAATGATCTGGCATTCATTGGCGATTATCTTCAGTGTTCATTCTAGGATGCACCCTTGCGTCACTGACGCAGAAAAAATTTGGTTGACGCAATTCGTAGGGTGAGCTAAGCCAACAAAATTCAAGGGAATTAACAGCGGGGCATTTTTGTGTTCTAAACGCGCCCTCCAATTCAGCAAATTCACAACCGAAGTTTGATTGTTTACTCGACATCTCTCGATATCAAGATCTAATGTTAAACATAACGAAGATATTCTTTACTCGTCGCAGTTTTAACAAAGATCTAAATTTATGCTGACGTCATGTGCTTTATGCAAATCAGTGGCAATCGCCCCTCTTTTCTTGAATCCCTGATATGCTGAGATTAACTGTCCATATAGATCAATTGATCAACCTGTACATTGTGCATGATGGCGGAGAAAAAGCAAAGCTTTTTAAAGAAAATCGATCCCGAAGATCACTCTAAAACGGCTCAGAACAGTAGCGACGGAGGCAATGATCATCACAGCAGATATTCCCACCACAAAGAGAGCAAAAGTTTGTGCAGCTGTCATGACTGCTGATACCGCGTCAAATAGCAATGCAACTTCAAGGTCGTTTAAAAAAAGGAGGAGAAATACTTATTACAAGTGGCTTGTATACGACGATAACGCAAACTTGGTGTATTGCAGCTTATGCATTGTAAAAAAGAAGGACAATATCCTCTTTCAAGGGACTAATAACTTTCGAACGAGTACCCTTATGCGACATGAGACGTCCACTGTCCACAATCTTGCCATACAAGAGACGGCGGAAGCAGCTCAAGCTAAACAGGCTTTTTGCAGAGCTTTAGAAGGTAAGATATTATTTTTTTGTTAATATTTATTTGTAACATAGAGCAAGAGCCATCAAAGTGACACTAGCATACGTTGTTGATTATCGTGACGGTCCCGGACCCACGTGTTGTAATTATATTTGTGCAGTTTGAGGAACTCTTGACAGTGCATTCTGGGATATTGCAATGCTGAACAACTATGTAAACAATGTGCTTACTGCGTAGCATTGAGAAGTCCCCCCTACCCCACCAGACCATGTGACCATGTAACTCCTAGATCTTGTGAAAAGGGATCTTTTTTGAAGCTCGATATTTACAAAATGAACTTCTAATTTGTGTATTTCGATAAAGAAATATTCATTTGGGCATGTTTTCTGAAGGATATGCGCCATTCAAGCCATTCTGAAGGTCTGTTTTCAATCTTACTTGCAACATTAAAATTGGAGACAGTTAAATTGAGAAGTTTCAGAACAAATGAATAATTGTTAAACCTACAAGAACTTGCCAGCCACTCTCCATTGGGACTGAACTTGACTGATGACACTGCTTTAGTATGTCCTGCTAATGTAAACTTCAGTGTATAGTTAGGCTTCTGAAAGATGAATGGTTTCATGTCAGCATTTTTCAAAATATATATTTGGTTTTCTGTTTATCTTTAGGCAAGCAGTTACATGAGAACGAGGACATTTGTTCTGCTTATTATAAATAATACAGAATAACTTCTTAATTACCACTGGAGCACTGACTTATGCTACTGTAACACTTTTTGAAAATCAAGTAATGCTTGATTCAGTTCATAATCTGAATGTACAAGCAACAATAACTGAAATCTTAAAAAGCACAAAAATCCAAATAAGCACATAATACTCAATAATCTTTTTTAAAAATGCAAGGCACTCCACACTGATTACACTGAAACAATATTGGACAATTCACTTATAAGAGTGTAGAAAATCCATAAATAGGGTAATTTTACAAAATAAAATGTAAGAAAGTTTTTAACTCCAAAGAGATCTTTCTATTTCCTCATCTGAGACCATATTCTTGCTGCTTCTCTGTAATCAAATTCTTTTCAAGATGTCCATGATTTTGTCTGTTGAATGTTAGTCTCCGCACTATTAAAAACGGATATCAACAAGTTTTGCTTCGATGCCATGGTAACATAAATATGTCTTAAGATACCCCCATAATTAAGCATTTTAGTCAGTAGTAGTCAGCAGATTTCTTCTAAAGTCTCATAAATTCAGAATGATTTAAAATCAGTGCTATACTTGTCAGAAAATCCTCTTCAGTCCAAAAGAGCTACAGCTCAATATTTTTATGGGTCCTATGGCATTTCAATCGGTCATACCCGGTAGGAAAGACAGTTTTGCCATATCTGAATTGGTTCCTAAGATCAGTTCTAATCATAATTTTAAAATGTCATCCTGTATACTGTTGTCTATTCAGGTAGATTTGCCAATAGCTGTTAGACTCTTGAAAACCCATTTAGGATTAAAAGAAAGAAAAATATATGACCCATGACTTATGTCACAATAAACTCATATAGATAATCTAGCAACACTCTCAACACTCTTTTACACTGAAATGATTGAACTCACCAATGGCTGAGATTTGCTGCTGCCACTGTTGTTTGTACTGGCAATGGTTGTGGATGGTTTGGTTGGAGCATCAGATTTTACTGCATCTTCAGCTGACATCTTTGCAGCAAAATAACAAAAGTTGGTAAATAGTGACTAGACTTTATGCTTTGAAACTTTCCTATTGAAAGCACAGTAAAAGAAGAAACTTATTTCCATTTGCTATAAAAACAAAACCAATTACACAACATAATGATGATGTTACAATATTGTCTCAACAAAAAGTTGGAAAACGTTATTTTGAATAATTCTAAATTAACCATATAAGCTAGGGTGACTATTTTAACTAAATATTGATGGATAATATTTCTAAAATTATTTTTTCTGGGGTCAAACTCAGACCAAACATTAAAATCATGACTATAGTGCCTTAGACCCCATTTCCAGAGATTAGATCGATCTACTTTAGATCGACCTAACTTCCTGGGGGTTCACGCTAAATAGCTGTCAGCCGAGCGAACACGAAAGTTAATTACCCCCTTACAGCTTGTAGTAGGCGAGACTGACATTTAAGCTGGATTATCTGACAGTAATCTAGTGAGACTCCCCACGGGGATAGATCGATCTAAAAATCTATGGGAATGCGCTCTTAATGCTTATCTTATTGATGACACATCACAACTGCACAATATAGATAATAAATATTATACTTTTTTGTAATCTGGTGCTCATCTTTTAGTTATATTTTGTAGAATTTTTTTTTTTATACCTGTTGATATAATCTGAACAAGTATTACAATGTATATTTTATATAATTTGAAAAAGTTGTTGAACTTATATTTAGTGTTCAATTTTAATAGACCAAATAATTCAGACTTGATCTTCCTCATTCGATAAATAACAATATCCTGAATATGTCCAGTTATAAAGAATTTCATATTATACAAATTTCATGCCTTAAGAAACCTGAAAATTTGGAACAAACAAAACAACAGACCTTGAAAAAAGCCGCATATGGAATTTCCTCAGGGTTATGGAAAAGTCCTGACAGTGGCGCCACCGCATGGTGGTGGCCAGATTTGGTATTAAGGGCTTAAGGGGATTGTGCAACAGTCACTGCAGGGGACAATGAGTTAAAGTAGGTCAAAGGTCAATTTCAAGGTTACAGTTAGATTGCAAGCATATGAGTAAAAAAGGTCTGCTCTATCGTAAAATCACACACCCGCTATAAACAGACGAAAACTAGGTCAAATCTACTCAGGATAACTGCCAGTAACCTACTGCACATGAGCGGAAGTTGTGGTCCACATGCTGTCTGGAGTTGGCTGGAACGATAAGTGCTAGGCAAGTCACCCGCTCTTTATGTTTCTGACACAATTAACTGAATCGATGAAAATAAAATACCAGAAATGGAATTTTCAACCGTTTTTCATTCAAAATAAATGTTTAAATTGTCATAAATACATAGTGAAAATCAACTAGAAGACCCATTCTTTAAATAAATTCTGCTCATGCGCAGTAGGTTACTAGTCCTCGCGTCATGACCTGAGTAGATTTGACCTGGTTTTCATCTGTTTATAACAGGTGTATGATTTTACAATGGTCAAACTGGTAGATAGACAGATGAGTTTAAGGAAAGTGATACCTCTGTTGATGGAAAAACTGGTTGGCTTCACAGTAATGTGTGTGTTGAGGAGATGAGATGTAAAATAAAAATTTGAGAGCTGCTGCACCACAGCTGGTTCGGCAACTGGTTTTCATTTCCAACATTTTTTAGCCTTTGCTTTCATGTGTTAGCACAGCCAATACATATCAGAATCGTCAATAGGAGTGCTTACGTATGAATTTTCGTGCTACATATTAGTAAATGTTTGTTCCCACCTTGTTACTTTAAAGAATGGCATAGTCTTTTATAATTAACCAGGTGTCAATAAGTGACTTGTGTCTTTCACAAAGAAGAAATACAATGTCTTATCTGCCAAAGCCAATACCCCTTGTCAAGAATAGATTATTTGTTTCATAGTATTTTCAAGGCAGAATGTCTGAAGCTAAGCATTAAGTGATGTTAAGAACACACCCCTAACCCTTCTTATGTTATCGACAGCAAAACAGCATAATTACCTTTCCTTTGCTATTATTATTATTTATTATTGACACTGACAGGGACACCACACACAGGGTTGTGTTACAGATATTAGTGTCTAGCATTCACCATAATCCTGTGTGTAATTATCATGAACAATATTTTCGTTCTCTTTGCCTACCTTTTGCCGGAATCAAATAACTGAAAAAATGCGGATCACTTGCTTGCAGGACTCAAACCGGCAAAGTCAAATTAAAACGAATGAAATAAACAACAGCATGTGTGACAACGTGCGCTCTAGTGCGGGAAATCGCGCGTGCGTCAAATCTTACGATATTCTCGCGAGACGTAAATAGGGAGTTTTAGGTTGTTTCTTTTAAAATTTAAGATTAGTTTGAAGGATATGCTTGGTATATGAGGATATATTAATGAGGTAACAGAATCATAGAAACGTCAGCGAAAATTTTAAGTAATAAGCAGGAAACGCTGTAGAATATTAGAGAAAATAAGTGAGGTAATGTCACATGACCAAACTGTCCAATGAACATGGTGGAAGAAAGAGCTGACGTATTGAAAAACGGACGGGGCTTCATTTGCGGTGTGGAAGTACTCGGAAATACAAGGATAATACACACGTTTTGATAAAAATATATACTGAGGATAGTAACATGCACTTTACTGAATGCACAGAGTATACTTACCCATCAAACTAAACAAAGGAAATGTGGGAATATTTAGTTTTTTCGAAAAGCCATATGCCATGTGATTGTAGTTGACCAATCAACATGCGCCAATTTAAAAGGAGCATATAAAAGTGCAGATTAGTGTCTGTGGGAAAGCTATATGCTGCTTCCCGGGGTGTATGTGTTCGGAAGAATCCAGCCGAAAAATGGACACGAAGAGCCATCCGGCGCTGCAAGGCTATCAGCAGAACGCACCTAACATCAACTCAGGGTACTTTGTCCATATTTTTGCTAGATAAGTATTGTAAATGGCTGAAAAAGGACTATTAAATTAGGGCGCGAATAGTCGGTCAGAGACGCCATTGTTCGTAGTGACATTGTGCTAGATCGTGCACCGAAAATGTACAATTACTATGGATCCATGGACCCTTATTCCAAAAAACTGTTGTGAGTTACATTATAAACGTTTCCAGCACCTGTATAAAGTATAAGTTTGCTACAGTTTATAGTGTAAGCATCAATACTCTGTATGTGTCATTTGCCGGGAGTGTTCTGGAATAAAAATGGTGGCTTTTGTTACATCAGGCAATCGTTTGTGCCATATCCAGATAAAGTTATGATGCTGCGGCTTCAGTTTTTGTACTAGGTCGATTTATTTTGTGTCTGTCCTCCATGCTGCATTAAATGGTTAAGTATTGTGTTGTCCAACGGTGCTTAAAAGTAGGTGCATCTCAAGGTCATCGTTCGAATTTTAGATGGTCATGTGATGATGAGTCATTGGGAAATCCTGGTATGTTGTAAAAGGAAAGCAGTTTTTTTAATGAACACTTAAACATATATATATATATATACATGTTACATTGTCGTTATGTTGGTCATATCCCCCTTGTGAAATACATTAAAGAAGTATGTTGACTAGTAGTGTTTTGTAATCAGAATATTATATGTTCCTTAAACAGGACTAAGCTTTCCTTATTTACTTAGCTTTTTGGGTTTTTGCTGTTGATATGAATTGACATTAATCATGTCCCCACATGAATTTTTAGTTGGAAATAAACATCTAAAATAACATATTTGTTTTATGTGAAAGTGACAGATTACTACCAAATGTATTGGCTCTTAAAGTGATGCTATATGATATTCCCTGTGGTCATTCCATTGTGCAATAATATATCTAGACCCATTCTCTGTGATCAAAGTTATCATTTCTCTGCCAAGAAAAAAAAACCTTGTTATGGTGTCCATTTTTGCTGCGAAATGTTAAACTGCACTCGGATTCAAATGAACTACCTGGTTTGTTCCAACTTTGGGGGCGGGTGAGATTCTGGTTTAAGTGCAATCAATGGGATCAGCTTAATTTTCCGACACGTCTCCTTAAGCAGCAGGAAGTAATTAACTTCCATATATGTTGGGCTTAATAACCTCCTAGCAGCTTGAGGCATGTAAGACAATTAAAGTCATTCCACTGATTGTACTTAGAGAATCCCCTGCAAAGTTAGTCCATCCCAGCTGGTAAGATGTGTGAATCTGAATATGCCCTTAATCAGGATTTTTCGGATTTGGAGTCTGGTATGGTGAATCACTTTTTGAATGGCATTATTGATGTTTGATTGAGCACGTGTCATTTTCTCTGATTGTACAATCCTTGGGTTTAATATGTGGTTCCTTTACTTTGATTGGCCACAAATGCTCTGTCAAAATTACATTTGGCCATGTCACCCATCAATCCTTAGGTTAACCAGACCTGAAATTCCAAGATGTCTTATCACAAAATTCTTTATAGCCTTGTGAAATGCTAACACCTACACTCGCCAATTTAGCCAAATGCTAATACTGACTTAAATTGGCTAAACAAAATAGAGTTGATTTGATTTGTTTTAGTCAAATTAAAACCATATGGAGGAAAAAGTACTGAAAAAATTAGTGATATCATTTGGCTAAGCGAAAAAATTTACAAACGCTACCCCAGATAGTGATCATATTTATGTAGTTGTATATTAATTTACCCCCCTCCCCCCCCCCCCAAAAAAAAAAAACGGTTTCATACCTTTCAAAAAAAATTATCAAAAATTTTATCACATTGATTTTCTCATTTTTGAAGCTATGATTACCCTCCATACATATCATAGCTGCTAAATTTTATATTATGAGATTAGATCAGATTCCTACTCTTTAAGTTATGTTTCAGCTTTAATCAGTGTTAAAATGATAATGTACTCAAATGAACAGTGAAGCATATATATATATATATATATATATATATATATATATATATATAGTTTGAATAATTTTTAATGCCAGTGCCCCAGTACTAAGCAGTATGGTAATTGTCTTCCAGCAATGGAACATCTGATCAAGAACATGAAACAGGAACAAACAACACAGCAGCAGTAAGTATACAGAAGGTGTGATGTTCATGAGATTAGATTGGATTTCAGAAAGATAAAAATGAAGTATTACAACATACTTTACGAAAGGCGTCGAACATGCCTGGCAAATTTCGTCTTAGTTGGACCTTATGTCCAAACTGACTGGGAATGTGTAAATATAAGGAATACGTGGTTGTTTCTTTTCTAGACAATATATTTTACTTCATTCGAGAAGAGAGATGGGATGAAAATCTCGGGGAGTTCCCAGCTAATTATACATAATTTATTAACCTCGGTTTCACTCACAAATACTATTTTGTGACTGGCTGAGGTTGGGGGATTCCTGGATGATGTAATGTACTGTCTCGTTTTCGTGATACCCCTACACGACAAAATGGCTGCAACACGTGCTCGTACTATGTGTTTTACCGACTTGACTCGGGCTGGACAGTCCCTGTCAAAGCTTCAATTGGATGAAAGAGACTGCCTTACTTTGCTGTTACACAATGCATAAGTAATTGCCAAAAACAACGGGTGAAATGGTTATCTGATAAACAGACGTTTTTATGGGCATAGATTTGATATTACTAGCTACACATTCTTCATACTTGTATAGTTTTTAGTCTTTGTGTCATTCCACAATGCCTTTTTCATTAGATAAAAAACAACTTTTTTTCTTTCTTTCTTATTTTACTTTTTTACAAATAAATATATTTTAAAGATTTAATATTTCGTTTAATGTCGATGATTTAAAATGTAAGAAAATACACATGAAAACGAATAATGGTTCATATTTCTATTATCTTCAAGCTTGTCAGACCGAATTTCTGACAGAGTTTTGGGCCTTTCCTAAAGTCTAATTACAAGAATGATTTATTGGTCGGTTAATGTTGATTGCAAGCAAATTTTTGGTGGGTGGCATCGTTGATGAAAGTATTGACAAAGTTGACGATGTTTTCAGCTAGATTATGGTAAATGAATATTTATTGTATTTCAGAACAACAATGTAAAGCCTGAGCCTACGGATTCAAACAAACCCCCTGGGAATGATACTGGCTCCTCACCTGCTTCCCAGACACCCAACACTATGCCCCCACGCAAAGGGCGCCTGACAAACCAACTCAATTACTTGCTCAAAGTTGTGATGAAATCAGTATATAAACACCAGATGGGCTGGCCCTTTCATCATCCTGTGGATGCCAGCAAGTTGAACTTGCCTGTAAGTATGATGGGTGTCTTTGTTCTCTTTACTCATTTTGTATCTGTCATTGTTTTCAACTTGGAAAACAGAATGATTTGTTCTTTTGAATGAATGATTTATTCTGAAACTGCTGTTGTATAAGTAATACAAAATATGAATCGATACTATGTACACGAGATAGAGCCACATGTCGATGTCACTTGCACCTTGCTGACCTTGCAGACTCTTTTGTTTTCTTCATTTACTGTGATGGAATATGAAATAAATTGAGTCATTTTAATAGCTTGACTAAAAAAAGTACCTGAAACAGTAATGAAAGGGTACCTTATTTATGTCCACCATTTATTAACTGAGACTTTTATTTTCAGGACTATCATAAGATCATCAAACAGCCCATGGACTTGGGAACAATCAGAAAAAGACTAGAAACTAATTATTACTACAGTGCAAAAGAATGTATACAGGATTTCAATACCATGTTCACAAATTGCTATGTTTACAACAAACCTGGAGAGGTAAATTTTCTTTTTTCACTGTGCATTGAGAGATTGTTAGGGTTATGTCATATCAATCTGGATAATGTATTACCTTTGGGAATCAGAGGTTGCATTGGTGAAAATATGCTTGAATTACCATTCATATTGAAATATGCAGATAAAGTGTCACTCTTTATCAAGCCTACTGCCTTGTAGGTATGATTTGCAAGAGCTGAAACTGAATGAAATTGAAATACACATTCCACCTTAACAGTTGGACAAGAAGAAAATGATTGTATGTTTGATTAGACTCCAGGCTACTATATGTCTCTATAGAAAATGCATATTTGGACCCAAGACAAACATTGAGTTTCATGTAGTTTTTCGCTCTCTAATCCACTAAATTTGTTTTTATGAGTCATGTTTTAAAGAATACTGTGATTATCAGATACAAATATTGATTAACCTATTTTTCTTTTTACAGGATGTTGTTCTGATGGCACAAACTTTAGAAAAACTCTTTTTACAAAAAGTGGCCCAAATGCCACAGGAGGAGTACGAAATGACTGCTCCAGTGAAGAAAGGTCCTGGTCGAACACCACATCATGTGCGTGCACAGCCTAAGGCACCACCAGTACCAAAACCTCTTCCACCACAACAACAACAACCAGTTATATTAAATTCTCCTCCAGTGACATCACAAATATCTGCAATGCCCCAGTCCACTGAAAGTGGTGTGACTCCAACTACCACGGCAACACCCACAGCAACACCCACAAATGCTATAGACTCCTCAGGCTATGGAATGGTGGGACCCACAAAAGTGAGTGAATTTGGCCTTTTACTCCATAGAGATGGTCACCGCATATATTCAGTTCTTTTCTCAATTACCCCAATACCAGAACTGCACATATGCTTATCTTGGAAATGATGTCTCGTTCCATTTTGAACATCTCTTTAAAAAAAAAAAAGACCATGATTTGGCTCTTGTATTAGGTGATTTAGGAAATGTTTAATGTAAGAGGAGTCACTTTATGGTCCCCATAGATTAATATTTTCCTCCAAAAAGTTTAAGAAGGCATTGATATTTGGTTTTAAAATACAGTTGTATATTAAAGATGTTAATTACCATATTTGTGCGAGATGGTTTCTGTTAGCACATTTGCCTATATTGTAGTAAAGTTGTTTGTGATTGCAGTTAAAAAAGGGCGTGAAAAGGAAAGCAGACACTACTACCCCTTCTGCAGTGAATGACAGTGTATATGACCCTCCCTATGAGCCCAGGGCTGCCAAGCTGGGCCTATCTAGGCGAGAGAGTAACAGACAGATCAAGAAGCCCAAGAAAGACCTTCCGGAGGACCAGGTCAGCACCCATGACATCATACCTACAGCTGTCCCTCCATCTCGTACTCAGCCAGTAGAAACTGGGACTGCTCCAGTAAGATCAAACTTAATTTAAAGTCACATCATGCTGCATGGCGCTCCCCTTACCCAGTCAACATATGCTCATGTGCTTGCCCAGTCTACTGACAGAGTACAGGGGTTTCAATAGATTTTTCCTTGTATAGATGTGTAAAGCCCCCCCCCCCTCTCTCTTTTTTTTTTTTTTTCTTTTAATTCTCCCCATTTCTTCTTGAAACCCCTGAGATCAGGACAGTGAAGATATTTTAGTTGTGTGAAGTAAATGATGGCTCTTTAGTCAGTAAGAGTTTTTTGTGTACTTGTAAATGGTACAACCTCTTCTGGTTTTGTTCAATTGTTGCCCCCCACCCCCACCCCAGTCTAAATTTTATTGCAAACTTTGTAAAACAAGGCTTGGCTTTTGTCTGTCACTGTTCTTACTGACTGGACATTACAGCTGCCAAGTTAGCTGTGTGTCCAACATGTTAGTTAAAGCTTGTCATTTATTTGTTTTCAGGCCCAGCACAGTACCAAAAGTAAGAAGGGCAAACTCTCTGAACAGCTCAAGTATTCAAGTAATATCATAAAGGAACTCCTCTCCAAGAAACATTCAGTAAGTTGGTAAATTATTTCCATTATGTCTTTAATTCTTAATACAAGTTTTTACGTTGAAGTTTGCTCATTAACAATTAACATGAATTGCTTTTCCACCACTGCATATAGGACATAGTGAGGTAATATCTGATATTTATTTGTCTATGGGTGTGTAAGAGTTTCATATTATATCCTTTCTCTTTAAGCAATATGCATGGCCTTTTTACAAGCCTGTTGATGCAGAACTCCTGGGTTTACATGACTACCATGATATTATTAAAAAGCCCATGGATCTTGGAACAGTCAAGGTGGGTTGAGTAGCTCATGCATTTTAATTGTTAAATAGACTAAGTATTTTTGGATTATAAAACATAGACTCTGTTCACATGAAAAGTCTATTTTCTAAAAATCTATTTTTTATTCGCGGTGATCACGGTCCGTGCCCTGAATACCCTGCAGCGTAATTACTGACAGCGCGAGCCAGTTACTTCCAAAGCTGTAATTAATTCTCGGCTGCCCTCGGAGTGATCATAAGATACCGCAAATAGAAAATAGATTTTTAGAAAATAGACTTTTCATGTGAACGGAGTCATAATTGTTGTGAACTGGTTTCTGGATGAACCATTTTCCATTCTGCTCGAGAAACAACCAGTTGAGCTCAATATATGCATAGGGTATGGCATTTAAAGATCACTACATTATGGAAATTTAAAAAAGCCAGTTTTAAGTTTGGTGTTTCATGCCTGAAGACTTGATTCTTTTTATTGCTTATGTTAATCTGATGGTGTTTGAATGTATCTTTTAAAGTATTGCTCCAGTTTTTTACAAATACTTGTTAATTTATTAGACAAAAATGGACCGCAGAGAGTACAGGACGGCTGCAGAGTTTGCTGAAGACGTACGAGTCATATTTACCAACTGCTACAGGTATAACCCTCCAGATAGTGATGTGGTCTTGATGGCTAAAAAATTACAGGTGAGCTCATCCCGTAACCGTTACAACTAAATGTTGTTCACAAGATTTAAGTAGAAATTATAAAGGAAGAGGAAAGAGTTTTGATGATGTTGTTGGTTGTGACCTCCCGGGCAAGGATCTTAGCTCTTTAAGAGCCATGACAGAACACTTAATCAGTGGAGGAAAAAATAAAAGCCCAAGTTAATCCCAGCCTTTCTCCTTTTAGAGCTTGGCTGTTTCATGCCTTGGGGACAATTGAAGAATGTGATGTATAATAAAATTGTTTTAGAACTTCCTATGGTAAAGCAAATGTCAGTTGTTTAATGGATTTCAGGGATGGTCTTTTAAAGATGATTGTCTTTGTTTGTAGGATGTGTTTGAATTGCGGTATGCTAAGATGCCAGAAGAGCCACCATCTGCACCAGAGACTGCATCTATTGGGGACCAGTCTGAGGACAAGGGTGGGGCCAGCAGTGACAGTGACAGTATTCAAAGTGAACCTGAAGAGGTGCAGTCAGATTCTGAGGTAGAAAGAGAAAGAAAACTCAAGGAATTAGCAGAACAGGTATGTAACATGAAAGACTGGTCAGTAATGACTTACACCTTGATACTATTTAGTGGTGATTTTACACCTATACATAATGTAAAATGATGAGAACCATGCGTGTCATATGAATCTGTTGCACGGTGGCTGTTAACAGATCTTTTAAGTGCTAGAGACTGTGAGACAACCCCTAATAAGTGCATAGGATATGATGGCAAAAAGGCGAATCTGATTTCATAAGTTGATTGTTATAATTTTTTGATGTGTTAAATGCAACTTATTTGAGTGCTTGCTTTAAGTAAACCTCTAACAATTTGCAGCTGTCAATGGTGCAAGAACAACTTGGGAAACTCACAGAGGAACAAGCAAGAAAACTTAAAGAGAAGAAGGCCAGGGAGAAAGAAAAGGAAAAAGAAAAGAAAAAAGACACAAGTTCTAAAAGGAAAAAGAAAGAAAAAGACACTAAGGATAAAGACAAGAAAACTGAGCCTCTATTGCCTGTAGTACCACCAGTGGTGGTACCTCCATCTATACCAGAACCTCCAAAATCTGCTGCTAAGCCAGCATCAAAAACTCCTAAAACTACAAAAACAGCCAATCAAAAACGAGCAAGGACTAACAGTCGTGCAAAGAAAAATAAACCTGTGAATTCCACGTCTGCTGTCCCAGGTTTTGACAGTGAGGACGAAGACAATGCTAAACCCATGACTTACGATGAAAAGAGGCAACTCAGCTTAGACATAAACAAACTCCCAGGTATCTATTCAGATCAGTTGGGATGCAGCATTACACTTTATTAAAAGTAAAAGACATAAGGTGCAAGGTTCTGTTTTGAATGCCAATATATACCACATAAATATCAGTGAGAAGTTTTTAAAGTGCTTAACTACTACACTATTCTTTGGAAAACCTGTGAATTTGGAAATCATGCTGGTGCCAGCGACAGATACATTTTGAAATGGAATAGGAAAATTACAATATATCGAAGCACATGTTAATCTTTGGAAGCAAGATGTCAAAACGAGTAGAGAGGGCTGTCACCTTAAAAACCATTAAAATTTTCTGTAAAATGATGACCACCATGCGCGACATCTGAATCTGTTGCACAGTGGTAGTTCTAAGCTGAATCTAGTGTTTTACTGGGGAAAGCTTGAACTGCTACTCAGCTTTCAGAATCGTGATCGCAAAAAAAGGAAATCTGATTACAATTCACTTTCTGTTTATAAGTCAATGGATTACTATATAAGTTTGAAATTGAGTTAAGGGTGGCAAATCAAACTGGCATAAATGGGGCAGTAGTGAGAATTTGAGGTTTTTTTGTGTGTGTGTTTGTAAAATGCCCCTAAAGAAGAGCCTTCCATCCTGCACGTATATCCCCTTTGCCTGTTGCTTGATGTAAATTTTTTTGGAGTGTTGCTTATTTGATAAACAAGCATTACCTAACTATTATAGTACCTGATTTTTAAATCCATTTTTCCTTCATACAGGAGACAAATTAGGCCGGGTTGTCCACATAATTCAGTCACGAGAGCCGTCCTTACGAGATTCCAATCCCGATGAAATTGAGATCGACTTCGAGACGCTGAAGCCATCAACATTACGAGAGCTGGAGAGCTATGTGGCTGCATGCCTTAAGAAGAAACCTAGAAAACCTTACAGTAAGTGATTAAATTGGTTGTGTGGTCACATTTTTGTTTCCAACAATTTTTGAGATTTTTAGATTCAAAAATTTTTTGTAGGTTGATGATAAATTTAGGATGAGCCCTATTGGTTTTTGTAAAAAAAGTCTATAAGAGATGCTAGTAGAGTGCCTCAGACAGATTTAGCATAACAAATATCAATAGCCATCTGTGAAGGGCTTAATTCTCAGTGAACTTGAAGGTACATCTGTCAAAAGCAAACCTTATCAGTTTAGAAAACCAGCACTTAGTACTATGGAATTGATTCTTTCAGAACATTAAGAATGACGAGGATTAGTGGGACTGTCTTTTAACTATAGAAAGTTAATATAGAACAGTGCCAAAACTAAGAGTCTAAATAATTGTGTAACATTTCTATCCCATTTTTTTTTCATTAACTGAGGTCTTTATTTGTAAACTAACTTGATATTAATGTTAATCTATTATTTTTTATTTTTGTTTGAACACATTTTTGCAACTTCAGCCTTTTGATTGCAGTCATTATGTTGTTTCTTTGTTTTGCGATATGCCTTTATATATGTTAGACTTATTTTTATATAGTTTGCAAGGCCCTTCTTTATTATGAAATTTTCTTATCGCAATTTTCTACATTTTGATACAAACATACATAAATGTAACATAGCTAATTGCATAATTTTTTATAGCACCTAAAAGACCACCCGGGAAGTCCAAAGAGGAAGCCCAACAAGAAAAGAAACAGGAACTGGAGAAAAGACTACAAGATGTGACAGGGCAGTTGGGAGGAAACAAGCCAAAAACACCAAAGAAAGGTGAGATTTTCAAGGTTGATAATTGTTATTGCAGGATTGCTTTAAAATTGTTTTGTAGATTGGTAATAATTAAGGGGTGAAGAATATTAATTTTCATAAAGGTTGTTTATTATCTGTTAAAAAATTCCTGAAGTTTTAACATGGGGAAAGGCTGTAAACAAGTTCAGTTGTGATTTATTACAACTATGGACTGCTTAGAGAAGAGTAAGTGTGGGGTCAGCAATGTTAATCATTTTGCCCCTATGTAATTTAATGAATGCCACCAAAATTGTTTAGACATGTGTCAAAACAATTTATTCATTGCTTTGCTGATATCCATTGGCCACCATCAATCAAGACTGCTTGTTTAAAAATAGCTGCCCATTTAATATTTGATGGCTCTGTTGTGTTATATTTTCAAGTACCAGCTCTATGAATAATTTTATTATTAAATGATATTACAATCTTGAAGATGCCTCTGTTTGGGAAAGTCGAAAGTTTTCAATAGCAACAGTAGGCAAGAACACCAGAGATGATATAGAACTTCAATTTATTCGAGTACAGATTTTGAATTTAATGTAATAAAACTCTGAAATACATTTTTTCTGCTCATGTTCAATGCTTCATAATTGTAGAGAGTTCCCATGTAGATGTTGTTGGTGGATCCCAGAGTAGACTAAGTGCAAGCAGTAGCAGTACCTCAGACAGCGACAGTAGCAGTGACAGTAGTTCGTCTGGATCCTCGTCTAGTGACTCTGAGTCAGGTTAGACTGCACTATGTTCAGTCATCATTGGTCTATACATAAATATTTATATATATATATTAGGCCTTTTCACATTGAGCATTATATCTTGGCATCCCACCTGGAGTGGAATGTTTTTAGAGGTTCTGACATATTATTTAACTACAAGAAACATGCATTCACAAGTTTGCTTCCTTGGAAGCCCGTAGACTTGCCCTTCAAGAAATCGACGGAAAACGGCTCTTTTTCAAATATGAATGGGCACTGTAGAAAACTCTCTCAAATTATGCACATAGGTGCGATATCATGTGAAGAGTAATTGTTGTAAATTTCAATCCAAGCGGTTGTGTATATTTTGAGATAGAACGTTTTAAATGTGCAGCAAACTGTAACGCTAATCCCTTCAAGATCTCGACGAAGTGCATAGTGACGTCATCACTTGTACTTTGAAAGCTACTAGGTGATTTTCCAAAGAGAATTATTTCGTATCTTATACAAATGTTCAGAAAATGACCATGAAGATAAAAGAAAGTTCACTAATCAAAATTGAAACTGCATTATTAGACAGAAAAACATTGTGCATTTCTGACCTAGACTTGTCAGTGTAAACAAAGTGTACTAAATGCATCACAAGCAAGCACGTGGATGCCACGTTTGATACTTTGTATCAGACTCTTCATTTTACTTGACAATACTGTGTTTACTATGGGCATGACAGGAAAAACTGTGCAAAAAACGGGTACTTCTGGTTTGCGTCAATTTCTTGAAGGGCGAGTCAATGAATCTACCAACCTTGTCCAGTGCAGGGTTTCCATTTAGACAATTCTTTTACATAATAGCCAGTCTATTTTAAGATGTCAATCTCTGAAAACATCCCAGTATGGAATGATAGGATATACTGTTAGAAAAGAACGGGCCTATAGTGACTTGATGCAATGTTGAGTAGCATTTGTTCTACCATTTCATAATTGTTTTGTCTCTGAGTAAAGCTGTGCTTTACCTCATACACACAGAGATTGGTGCTTCTCATGTAATATTCAGTGTTTGCATTTATTTTGTATTGTATTTAATGCAAATTTCATCACAATTTCAATTTTTGAACCTGCCAGAGCAGTTTTTACAAGATCTTTTTAAAGGTTCATAATTCTACTGAAGATATCTCTTTGAATATCAAGTGTGCAACAGGTCTTAGCATAGGGTAGCAAAATGGGGGTTGTGAGTATAGAAAAAAAATTTTTATGACAATTGATTATGAATTTTATCCCCATATAAGTACTATGCTATGACCTGTTGCCACCAATGTGGTGCTATCGAGTGCAGAATGTGTCCCTGGAGGTTGACTGTTGGGGGAGGGAAGGGTTGACAACAACAGCTAGGGTTTAATGCATAAGACAGTTTCAATTGCTTAAATGGCGCACTTGCTCCAGTTGTGTCCCATGTAAATGATCTGGCAGCATGCGTCCAGCTAACTGGGTTGTATATGAAAGCTAAAGATGGCAACACCTGACAGTGTACAAGGTCACTAAGAGAAGTGAACCACCTGCCTCTACTGCTGCAGATGAGAACAGACCAGCAGCCGCCTTCTACCAGGTAGCATTTTGCACTCTGTGGCTTCCTCACTCTGTATGGCTTCATTTGCATACGTTAGAGAGGCTCTGTTCACCTCAGTAGGATTCATTTTTAATGTCTTTTTTATATAACAAAATTGAGATTGCAAGGAAGATCTTGATTAAAATTGGTGTAATTTGTTTTTCATTAGTACTGTTCAGATCCAGAGTGAAGGACATTTAACAGATGTAGGAAATGAACAATGGTTGTAGATAATTATTTTTTATTTCTGTTTTATGAATTGTAACTTTAATTCCACATTGTCATCATTCTGGCAGCTGTCCAGAACATTGTAATGAGGGGTTTATCTAGTATATGCTGCCTCAGCTTTATCCCCATCAATTTTTCACCTTTGTACATAATACTTATGTACTTATCACAATTTAAATGTACGCAAGTTTTTTTTTTTTTTTTTTTTCTACAAAACTTTTTTATTTTACATATTTGTTGTAGGAGACTAATGTGTGTAGGTTTAAAAAGTAACTGATGTACTGTGAATTGAATGGAGTACATTTTGTATGTCATGAAAATTAAGTGTAACAATAAAAGAATAAAACAAAACTTGTTGTTGTTGCCCCCTTACAACGCTGCCCCTGGGAGACACATTCTGCACTCGGTTATGTCAGATACACAACAGGCAAAAGGTAGCACACGATAAACAATCATTTTTTTTTTTTCAATGGAACTTCCAAATATTAGTGTGACCATTGTAGCTGGGGATGTCAATCTCCTGACAGATTTGATGTGTGTATGTCAAGTGATTGTGTACGTTTGCTTCTGAGCCTGCATTATATAGGGGTTGGACTCCCAACACAAAAGCATGTTGAGTATTGATAATCCTGGTATTTTTACTCTCTAACACATGATACACTAAAATAATGTTATTTTCAGACTTGAGTGTGCATCATAAGGCTCACCAAATCAGAGCATAAACTCGGCTCCTATGTTTTATTTCACAGGCACATTTGGGATAAAGAAAGCCAAAATGTGTAATTACTTGGTGCTGATATTTCATGTGAACATTCTAAAAGAGAAAATACCAGAATTGCCAAAATACTCATGGTGCCACTGTCTTGGCAGTTCAATGTAATCCCTTGTAATCTAACCCTTCTTGTACCATGATTAATATTTAAAGATGTTAAATGTAATACTGCATGGTTCACATTTTCTTCCACAGAAACTCCGACCAAGAAAAATAAATTGAATATAAAACAGGTCAGTACTAATCATAACCATATGAAAATGGTGACTAAATTTTGATGACATGACTTTGAATTTTCATGGACTTGCAGACTATTACTTGGATTATCTTTCTGAATGTCCATGATACTTGTATTTTAGTTAAAATTGATGGTCATTATGCTGTTAAGCATTATGTAATATTGCATTTAAGTTGAAGAAAACCCTATTTTGGGCACCGCTGCCATTATAACCCTTAAAGGAAAAAATGTTACTGATGATTCTCAATGTTACTGAAAATATTCACTGGAATGAAATGCAGTTGAGTTGAAAAACCAGTCTGATTGCATTCTCTCCTGCAAGCACTGTAGTTGTATATGAAATTTTCATTTTGCACACATGGGACTTAGAACTCCCATGAAGCTGAATGGAAATAAAATTTTCTAAATGTCCATATTATGAATAGTAGGTAATTAAATATTGGTGGTGATAATGCTGTTTATCATTAGAGATATTGCATCAAAATTTAAAAAATACTTTGAGTATTGACAACACAAATGATGAAAACTGTGTAACTTATTTTTTTTTAACTTAAAATTATAATTTATAGATTGACATTCAGCTCAAATTGGAAAACCAGCTTGATTGGATTATCATTTTTCTTGAATTTAGGTTTTTTTTTTTTTTTTTTTTTTTTTTTTTTTTGAAATGTTCACTTTTCTCATTCTGGCATCAAGTATGAACTTGAACTTTCATGAGCGCGAAGCCTTATGCTAGTACCACATTTTACTTATGTTCATATTACCTGTTGTGTTTAACTAAAATTTGCTATTGACTGAGCTGAAAAGCATAATGTGCTATTGTATCAGAATTGACAGTAGCCTATTTTGGACATTATTTTCTGCTTTTTTTCTGTACATTTGACAGCTCTTCTACCTGGCTGTCTTTACTTAACAAAGGCACTTGAAATTCTTCAGGGTTTGGAATTTATCTCTCTTAACTCTGAGTTATGCATTTATATTAATTACATGGCTTACAGTTTCATGAGTTTTGAGACAATTGGTGCATTATCTTTTTACTACATACACATCGTTATTTGCGATTGGTAAACCATTAAGGACCTGTTTGTGTCTTTTTCTCAGTTTTTAGTTTCTGTCACTGAATATGAGTATATTTTGATCAGATTTTTAGAAAAAATAAACGTCTATTTCCAGCTTTCAGCTGTTGATTAATGTTTTGTATTATAGAGTAGTCAACATTCCAGCGAAATGTTGGGTTTACATAAGTTCCAATGATGACAGATAACAAAGGTCTGATCAAGAAGTTCTCTTAAATAGTATATGAGTAAAAATGATATTATTATTTTGCATATAAAAAGTAAAGGCCGTCTAATAATAATATATTTTTGATCAGGGCAAGAGTCCAAGTCACACTTCTCCTCGCAGACAATCTACACAGAGTGTTAATGGGACAGTCAAGCCTACACAACAGCTGTTACAGAAACAAAAGATCCCACCAGTGTCTGCAGCAGGAGCATTTTTTCCTGCTGTGACCCAGAAAGCCCCTGTACCTCCACCGCCAGCACTACCCACACGAGCCCCTATCAGTCATTCCATGCCTCAGCAGCCAAGCAGACCTGTAGCAGTGGCCACACCGAAACCACAGCCAAAACCAACAGGTAACAAAAGACTAATATTTCACTGCACTGTTGACTATTAATTTTGACTGAATAGTTATTTTTATGCACAGACAGTTTATATTTTATATTTTTGTATAGTTTTCTTGTTTCACTTTTTCTTTCAATAATTGGCCCTGCTTTTACAGTAGTAGACTGTCAATTATATTGTCTCTCTTGTATGTTAGCACTGTTTAAGTTGGTCAGTACATGTCATTTGTGAAAAAGAAGTGAAGTGTGTTTATGTATGTATATATTCTTGTGCTTTATCCACACATTTCAATTTAAAGTGTAGGGTGGGGTACAGTAAGATGGACAAAAGTAAAGGCTTGTATTTTCTAGAAAAATAATTGTTTTTTTTTTTTCAGAAGGGTAACATTGCAAACCTGTAAGTTTTATCTGATATCAGGGTGGACCACTATGAGTGTTGTATTTTGCAACAAAGTCGCCTACCCTCTTTCAGGGGCAATGTTGATGAGAATATTCTAGGAAGTAAAATTTCACATCACCATTAGAGCTTACATATGGTAGAAAAGTTTAGAAACACTGGAAATCTGGTTTATAATAACAATGGCCATTGTGGCCCAAAGTTCACAGCGAGGACATCGGCTTATGTCAAGATGTCAGGTACCAGTCTGTCATGGCAAGTGGATGTTTCTTGCTGGTTTGAGTTTGTGCATGACGCATCTGCATTTTGTAGAGAAATAGTTTCAAAAACACTGGATAATTCTGTACACTTGTCCACCAGATGTCTGCCACAGCAAGTGGGCATTTCTAGGGGATTAGGGGGATTGTGGGGCAATTGTTCCAACTAGTACCTGACATTTCGAACATGAGCCGACGTCATCACAATGGCCTTTGCTATTGTTTACAACACTTCCAGTGTTTCTGAACTTTTCTACCAAATGTGTGACCGGCACTTTCCTCCCAGGATATTCATGTAGAAATTGCCTCTGAACAGGAGTAGGTGACTTTGTAGCAAAATAAAGTTGTTTCTCATTTCTTCCCCCCATCTTGATATCTGATAAAACTTACCGGGTCTGCTCAGTAACTCGCCTAAAAAAAGGGAAAGAAACAATTATTTTTCTAGAAATTATCAATCTTCACTTTTGTCCCTCTTATTGTGCCCCACCCTGTATCAAAATATTTATAACTGTTGTCTGACTCAGACCAGTTGGCCTGCATTAATTGCAAATACAAGAGAAAATGTGTGTGAAATGACCAAATTAAATTATCCATGTCCATATTTCAGTTACACCTCAAAGCCCAGGTAACACAAGTACTCTTTCCAATCTTCTGACGGGAAATGTGCCAGGGTCACCTCCTGTCAGTAAACAGGCATTACCTCCAACACCATCTATCATTCATCAGGCCCCATCCACTGCACCACCATATAAACCAACACCGCCTCCTGTAGTCAAGGCACCATCTCCCTCAAAGGAGCCAGTCAAGTTTACCATGGGAGGAGATGATGAAAGTCCCAAGTCTAGCCCCAAACCTGCACCACCTGGAGCTACTGTATGTAAGTGCTACTTAAAGGGTTTGCTTCATGCCGTCAGAATGGCCTGAACGGAACATATTCTTCAGAAAACATGCCCAACTAACGATATCTTTATCCAAATACACAAATTAAAAGCTCATTTGGTAAATTTTTGGCTTTAAAAAACGTCCTATTTGCTCGGCCTGGGAGTTAATGAGCTACGTGGTCACGTGGTCCAATGACGACAATCGAGCCACTGGAGAACAGAGCGTGCTTAGCTGTCAAACTGAGCTGCATNAAAACGCTTTTTTTCTACTAATAGATTGTTTTTATAATTTTTAAATGGCGGGGATCGATTAAAACATACCTCTAGTGTATAGATTGAGTGCTGTATCTTCAAAATTCGAGAAATGGATTTTTACATGAACATTGTCCTTTAATTTTGCTACTTTCTAATCTTAATATGATATATAAGAAAAATATGATGCAGTCAAATTGATGTCCTGATTTGACCCTTTCTCTGATCTGTTAACGAGTAAGTTTGGTCAAAGTCTTGTGCCCATATGATAGCTTACACTTTATTTAGCCAATATTTTCTTATAAAAATGCATGATAATGTTGGAACAACAAGATAAATGCACTTTAACAAGGGTCAAGAGCAACCCAAGGAGCTCGTCCCTTAGATGATTGAAATATCCCACAATGCAATCACTTTGATAAAATATTGTGGCAAGCCAGACTCTGCTCTGCTCTGAAGTTTCTTGTACTGGAGGTCGGGAAATAAAACAATTCCCCAACCTCTCTCAAACTGGAAGTCCGGCAAGCTATAGTCAGATGTTTCTTAACATGCAGAATCGTCAATAATACTTCATGATGGAAACCTATAGCAAGATGTGATTGTTTAAAATCATGTCTATCACAAATTTGAGTTGTCACTGGTATTCTACATGGAAAAGGGTAAGATCAGGCAAGAAAGGGGCCTCTGGATACAGGTTATGCTGTAGTTATAGACTCACTGGCACTAACAAAGAGCGGTAACTAGTGAGAGACACCAGAAGATAATTGGACATTAAAAAAAATTTTTTTCAACATTTTCCCCATCTTAACCATTCTTTTAGTTGATCATTTAAAAATGAAACTAAGTTATTGTGCAGGGCTAGACATAATTTAGTCCTTTGGACAGGTGGGACTTGAGGTCTAAACAAAAAAAATGACCTGTTCAAAGTTATGTTAAATTTATATGCTATATATTGTGATAAAATTATCTAATCCTAGCACATCAAGGAGGTGATGGAATCCTCACAAAGCATAATGTAACAATATTATTGTTTTGGCGCGCTTTATACACAGCAGTAGTAAGCACTGGTTTTCAATGCTTCAGTCAGATGCCGCTTTATTTTAACACTAATAATCACATGGGTGCTGTTTGATTGTCAATGGGGACGATTATATAAAACTTCTTGTTTTGTTCTCATTTAATCCTAAATTGTCATCTCAACCGTCGGACAGTACCCCTCAACATCACCTGTCTGACATGGGCTTTCACCTGCCCTGGACAGTCTGTAGTGTCGAGCCCTGTTGTGTATTATGTAATAAGTACTAAAAACGAAAGTAGCACAATTCAGTATTTGTGTACATAATGGCATTTTCAAGGTGTGACTTTGAATTTCCTTGGGACTGAAGACCTTTGCTTGTCACATTTTCTAGATATGTGTTATCAGCTTGATTGGATTCTTTTTCTTTCTTGTTGTCTGTACATTTGACAGCTTTGCTGCCTTGTTTGTAAAATTCTCCTTTTTGTCTGTCTAGCGTTATCAAAGTATGAACTTTAACTCTCATGGGCCTGGGGCCCATTTCACAAAGCAGTAGTTAAGTTAGCGATCGGTAGTTAGCCTCTCGCTAGTTATGAGTGCTGTTTCACAAAGCAGTCCCTAGTTCTGTAGCTCGTTATTGTGTCGTTATTATCTTGGATATTTAACGACTGGTCAGACCAGTGGCTAACTCTAGAGTTTCACCGTACACATGTACGAATGAAATAAAAAGGTTGCATAGTTCCCATTGTCTGTCGTATCCAATATGGTGGCTACTGTACTTGCTAACTGTACCGCCAGTAGTGTTCTTACTAACGACTGCTTCATGAAATGGGCCCCTGAAGCCTTACGCTAGTTACATATTCCTAACATCCATATTACCTTTGATGCATAATCAGTACCACCAGCATGTACCCATCTCGTATAGCTCCGCTGGCTCCATTGGCTGCCTGAAACAAGTCACTGTTACCGCTTCTTCTCCTAGACTGCATGGACCTATGTTCCTATCTCTTGGATTTAGGTCACTTTTTTTTTTAATCTCAGTCAGTTCTTTCATCTGGGCGTGACGCTCAAAATTTTTGAAAATACAATACTAAATATCTCCCAAACCAAAGAAATAATGGGGAAAATTACTACAGAAGTCTGACCAAAAGTCATATGTGAAAATACCAATTATGCCCTTGGATTTGACCTTTGACCTTTATTTCAAGGTCAAACAGGCCAAAAATTTTTTAAAGATAGGAATTTTTTGCCAAAAAAATATTTGTTTTTGCCACTTTTACAGAAACTGCACAACCATAAGCTCTCATAACCCATGAAGGGCTACAATTAGGGACTCCTTTCACCTTCGTGAGTTTGGGGTCAATCAGTGCATTTTCATGATGTCGAAGCTGAAAAGTCGCTGTAATTATGGAACCATAAATGCTAGAGACTTCTAGTTTGTTGCCTTTTGTCGAGCATGTCAAGCGCAACAGGGAAAGTGATATCCTTTTTTTTTTTGTTTTTCTTATGGTTTACAAGTTGCACTATATCAAAAAGTACAACATCACAACATAACAGTGATAAAAATAAAATGTGAAATCCGTACTCCAATGTTAGCAGGGTTATGCCCATAGTTACTATTGAACTTGAATAAAAAGTTATATACTGGCAATCTTATTGTGACCTTGAAATTGACCTTTGACTTACTTTTCACCATGGACTGAACTTTGTAAAATTTCCATCCTTTATATCTCCAAAACTGGCAAAGATAAGCCCATAGTTACCTTTGAACTTGATTAAGAAGTCATATACTGGTAATCTTATTGTAACCTTGAAATTGGCCTTTGACCTACTATTTCTGATGAACTAAACTTTGCAAATTTTTCGTCCTTTATATCGCCAAAACTGGCAGAGATATACCCTTAGTTACTATTGAACTTGACCAGGAGGTCATATACTGGCACTTTTCCTGTGACCTAGAAAATTGATCTTTGACCTACGTTTCACCATGAAACTCAACTGGCAAATTTCTGGGCTCTTATATTTACTACTGAACTTGGATGGGAAGTCCTTTATTCCCATTCGCACTGCAACCTTGGATTTGACCTTTTACTTTTCCTCACAATTTTGTTGCAAATTGTAATTTTCTACATAAGAAAAATTGAGAGTTCTTGTTTATTGTATTTTAATGTAGGTGCTGTCCCATATGAATGCACTGACTTCAGTTGGTGTTACAATATCCGGAGGCGATATCGCCTCTCTGATCCTCTAGTTAAAATTTGTTGTTGCCTTTGTTGTTATTATTATATTATTGCAATATGATTGCATCAGAATTAACAGTTACTGATTTTGTACATCATTTTTCTGCCTTGTGTGTGTACATTTGACAGCTTTGGTGCCTTGTTTAGCAATTCACAACAGTAGGAAATGCTTTTGTGTGTGTAACAAACTCATAAAAGCTTGACCAAACTTACTCAAAATATGTATTTGCATTACATGCTTCCTCCCATCAGTTATATGCGTTTCTCTAAAGTAAGTCTTAATTATCCAGTGAAAATGTGTTGCAAGGAGATCTTTGTTTTATTAAAATTCTGCATTATGAATAATCCCATTATTTAATTTGTTATTATTATTATTAATTTATTTTGTATTAGCTTCAAGTGGAGTTAGTGGCTCATTTGGTGTCCCCTCTCTCAGTTCTTCTGGGAGCAGTGAAAATCTAAAAAAACTGGCAGACAAAGGACAGAAAAAGGTATAAATTACAGTTGAGAGATATGACATATTTCTGAATGAAAAAAATCTGACATTTTACTATTATGAATGTAAAGAAATAATATCTGTACTTATTAACATACAGTTTACATACTTTTCCTTTATAATATTACGATTTTGTTGTTAAAGTAGCATTATAGAAACATTTTTTAAAAAAGTAAATTAATATGAAAGGTCTTTAATTGTAGGATGTAAAGATCAAGAACATAGGCTCATGGTCCAGTTTAGCAAATTTGTCTAGCAGCCAGTCCGGTGGTTCTGGAGTCAAGAAGACGAGTGCTGCACACAGTTTTGAACTGTTCAAGAAGCAGGCTAAAGAGAAAGAGGAGAGAGAAAGGCTGCTCAAGATGCAAGAGGAACAGAGGAAACGGGACAAAGAACAAGCTGAGAAGGAGAGACACAAAGCAGAGCAGGAAAGGCAAAGGTTAGAGGCAATAATTTGAAGAAAGAATGTTTTTAGTAACTGATAATCTTATGTTCTTGACAAGTAAACACTTATGCAATAGTCATGAATTACTTGTTAGACAGTTTTCCTATGTCTGTCATTGTCTGTCATTGTCTTCCATATCTGCCTGATGACTTAAGATGAAAAACCTCCTGCACAAAAAGATATTAACATTTCAACTGGTGTGATATAGAAAACTATACCACTCAATATATTAAGGGCCTTACACATTCGATTCCTTGTGAAACACTTAGTAAGCTGAATCTGTATGGCATGTTCTTCATCTGTGCTGTCATTTATTTTAGACAGGTGAATTTTGTTTATTAAAAGGGGATTTAGTGCAGTTTTAGATTAGATGGATTTCAAAGGAATCTTACTGAGTACTATATAGGACATGCCTGTTGTATTCTGCAGGGAGCGCGAGGAAGAGGAAGCTTTGGAAAAAGCTAGACAGTCACAACTTCAACAACAGAGACAACAAGAGCAGGAAGAACAAGAAAAACGCAATGCAGAGAGGGAGAGAGAAAGGATGAGGGAGACTGAGAGGAGAAGAAGAGCAGCTGTAAGCAGATAAACTTACAAATATCAATATTATATATAAAAGGGAGAGAGGGTTAGGGTTTGTGGCAGATCATCAATATGCTTGTAATTCACTATAGAACTATTATGGATGATAAAACTTAGCAAAAGTTTTCGAGTCAAAATATTTAAGCCATGTAGTGCAGGGTACAAATCTGATTGGAAAAAAACTTTTATCTCTGATTGTCCTTGATGTTACTAGATTGAAATGGAAATGTTTTCAATACCTTTTTTTTTCCAGCTTGCCAATCAAATTGACATGAATGCCCAGAGTGAATTAATGGCTTCCTTTGAAGAGATGCTGTAATGAAGTCTTCATGGAGTGTTCAAAAGACAAATTTCTTGCTGACATTAGAAGTGACTTTCCTTCAAGACATATTGGACCATGCATGTCTTCTCTTTGCTGATGCTTTTTCAGTTTGTTCACAGACATTATCTTTTCCTTGAGGATAATAGGACATGGGTCTGCTTCAACTTTCAGAGAGCTATGTTTCAGATACAGTCAGTCACCTTGAATCATAATGTTAACTCATTGTTGACTGAGGTCATTTTAGCTGTATTTCATTGGAAAGAATGATGTACTGTACAAAAGCATAATGTTCCTTTGATAGGTAAATGTGCCTATCATTCCAATCTACAGTGTTAATGCTGTCAGCTAACCAAGTGGCTGGCTAAGTTTTTTCAATCCAAAGAGAGCAGATAGAGGAAATGTTAAAGTAGGTAAAATTGTTACTTGCATGATAACAAGTTACTAGTAAGTGTACAGATATTCTCAATATGATAAACATACAATCTGAAGTAGGCAACCCTTGTGTTAGCCAATGTGTGATTTGACTTGAAAATGTCATTAGATTTCTTATACTCTTTGACATTAAATTTTCTGTGGAGTTCCAGTGCTGATTTTACAGCATTACAATATTGCCTCTGTTACACAGGTGTTAAGAATTATAACTCATTCCATGTCATTTTTTATTTGCTTTTTTATTTTTACTGGTATTTTCCATGTTTTAAGTTTAAAAGTGCTGAATTATAAGAATAATTAGAAAATGTTTAAAATTAATAGGATGTAATTATTAAAACTATTCAGCTTGCCATTGTTTCTGTATTTTTGTTTACTTTTTTTAACCATCCCTAAAAAACTCCTGTGGCATTTTTTTTTCTTATCCCTTTGCATCTTTTACCCCTTTGTAATCAATATTGCCCACCTTCAGTAATCTGTTTGAATTACAGACCTACAATAGCTAGTCTTTCTGTAAAATTCTGTGTACCATATATTTAAAAGAAAAAGAATTATACAAATATTTAAAAAAATAATTTCTGGGACTTATTCTTCTTTGCACAATTCATGATCATAGTCACCTTGTCATGTGGACATTATGGCAGTGGTGAATAGGAGAGTTTTGATATGGTCAATTTTATTAAGAGAATGTTACATTACAGATGTTTTGTTGTCAAGTTGGTATTGTCGTTCTGTTAAACCTCAACTGCTTGCAAGAAAAGGCCAGCAGTGCCAGTTGATGCACTATTTTACCAACTATATTCTTGTAGTTTTGATACGTATTTTGTATATATCTCAGTAAATTGTACATTTCTGTCAACTGTATTTAATCTTAGACCCCAGAGATTATGGAGTTGAAAAAGAAAAACTTGCAAAATTCATTTGTCATTTAAATTATTATGTAACTGATATTTGTTTACACTGTACATAAAGTTAGATGTAGCTGGAATTGTACAGACATCAACTCTTCTACATGTATGTACAGTTTTCTATGATGTAACCTCCATGTTGATACTTGAGTATATCATAACATTTTGTTTTTTCATCAAGAAGTGCTTGATTTGTATGTTTGCAATATTTGTGTAGTATTGGCTCTCTTGTAATGTTATGGTTTGTCGTTTACACACACGTCATGTTATTCCAGGTCATAAAGGAACACAAAGTTTGCTAAAATAAGTGTTGAATTTCAGGGACATTGGTTATTATGCTGACATTTCATTGTTCAGGATGCTTATGGGTTTATTCATGTAAATTTCATACTTTAGAATTGCTATGTGAAATAATGTTGGTTTATGATTGAAGTATTTTGTAGAAAACTAACATTTTGTGACCTGGTATAATTGCATATTTGAAGAAAATAATATGCTGTTTGGGTTTGTGACAAGGCAGTTCTGAAATTTAAAAAAAATCATAAAAAGCAATGTTTCAAAATACGTAGCCCAGTACATTTTTGCCAGTATTTTAGAATAATTAAATTAAGACAGCTCTGATATACAATTATAGAACCTAGTACATAGTGAATTATCTTGCCTTGCTGGTAATTAGTGGAGATCTCAATGCCACTGTGATAGTGTGTCATGCAAAAGAAAACTGGCATTTCTCCATTTGTGGGGGATTTCACTGTTATTAGCATGTCAGTATGGATTGATGGACGTATCCATGCTTTTGTAGATCTAGTTTTGACATTTGTTGAAAAGATCTGCCTAAATATGTAGATGGGAATTTTCCCAACTATGGAATAAAGATGAAGAAATCTGGAATCTTTTTTATGTACACACACAATTATGGCCTCAATTGTGAACTCTTCCCTATACCTATACATTAAATTTGTCTTGAGCAATACACTGCAGAGTGAGACCGATGTGATGCACTAGGTCATCCCTCCTTGTCTTTGCTCCCAAGGTGTACATTCTGGTGGTTTGGTTCTAATCTGTATTGATTAAACATATTTAACTACTTTTTAAGTAGTTACAAGCTTTTCTTTAATCATTCTTCATAAAATTTTTTATTATCATTTTTCCTTCTTAATTTCATGGCAATAGATTCACAACATTGAATATTTTACATATTTATTGGCAAAATAGTTTTTTCTCTTTGTCTTTTTAACATTCATCATTCCTTTTCTTTTAGCTATTGCAAGAAACAAACTTCCTTCAGAATTCATAGCTCTATTCATAATCAATTTCTTCAAAACTATTGTAAAGAAAAGTTTTCCCTTAAGATGGTGTATCATCAAATGATACGATGCTAAACGATTATTTAGAAAAAAAAAACACTTACACCTAGCAACATTATGTCAACAAAATTTAAAAAAAAACAAAAAATATCCCTTTCATGACAGCACATCTTTCAACTTTTCTTTACTTTAGATGAATATCTTTGTTTATACCCATTTTCTTTTATCTTTATTGATGGGCATTGAATGCTTCCGTATGTCTTTTTTGTTTTTTTAACTGGTCTTAAAGTTTTTCCATTCTGAAAAACAAAAGAAATTAAAATCAAAATATAGACAACAAAGCTTGCAAATGTACAGATACTACAAAAATTAAATGCAACAATATTCACATAAAATAGTATAAATAATTAAAAATTAACGAATAATGCACTTTTGGCATGAACAGTTCCTTTTACAGATTAATGTCAAAAAAATTAAAAGTAAAATAAAAAATGGTTTGGTACTTATGGGGGTAAAGCTGTCACGAATAATAAATAAAACATATCTGCTCACTTACAAGTGGTCTTTTATTACTGCCATTTTTAACCACCTCTGGGTTTTCAAATTCCAAGTCACCCTGGTCAATATCACTGTTGCCTTCAATGCCCTGCTCTTCTTCACTAACATCAGACAGGCCTTAAATATAAGTTGCCACGTTGAGAGCCAAGATTAAACACGAAAACAGAAATATATCACACAACTGGAAAAGCTGACATCAATGAAAATGTCTTGTTCCTTAATGCATTAAGAAGAAGCACAAAGACCCCATTAAAACAAACAAGATCGATATATATGTCACATTCTTAAGACAATATTATATGCATGGTTAACTTTGACACTGATGCTGTTCAATGCACAAAACATAAACATCCCATTTACAGCAAATTTTACAACTATCATACTGGCATATATTCCTATTTTCAAATAAACTAAGCAACTCTATTTTAAATAGAAGTCTAATAAAACAGAAGTACTGAATTATGAAACCTTATCTCAGGAAATTTTATCAAAAGATCGGGTTTAGACAAGAAAACTAAAACTGTGAATTGGTCTTATTTACTTCATGAGATGGCAATTATAAAAAAGACTGTCCAGAGCGTTTTGACACCGTCCTCTGCTTGAGTTTCAACACAGACATCTCACCTGGATATAAATCACTCAAGCTGTCCACCTCACTCTCCTCCTCACTGGACTCTACCTGCATCCATGAGCCTTTCTTGTTTGAAGAACTTTTACTACTAAAACTGTCATCCATATTCCTGTCTTTGCGTGGCCTGTATGTGTCTCCATTCCTCTGACATTCCTCATCTGAATGAGAAAAGCAATTAACAAGCCTGCAATAGATTTTGCATGATACTAAAAAATTCAATCTCAAACCAGTGACCATAAAAAAAAAACATTTGACAGAAAAATGTTGAATTACTTTTTTTTTCACATAGGGGAGACTTCAAGAACCACTTTTTTAAGAAACTGTTAATCATCAAGCTCAGCACTTACACTTTCGCAGGGCTCTTTGAAATTTCTTTCCCTGAATATGCCTCTGGATGTGAGAAGACTGGTTGTTCAGGTGACGCCATGTTAACTTGCAGAACAACTGTTTCCTTTAATAAATTTAATGAAATGCTCTATAAATCCATTGCAATATACCTTCACTGCAATCTAACTCATGAATTACATTTTATAATGTTTGATTTAGGATAAAACATTAAAATGGAGATAACATTTCTGAATACTGACAAGCAGCACATACTTGGGAGTCTGACATCTCAAATGTAAAATGAACTACGACGTACTGAAAAATAAGTAACTCATTAACATGAAAATCTTTAGATGCTTCCTTCAGAAGCCCCATTCTCAATTCATAAGGGGATCAGATCAGAGGATCAGAGAGATGATACAGCCTCTGAGTTTTGTACCACCAGGTGGAGTTAGTATATTCAAAAGGAAACCAAAAAAAAAAATAATAATAAAAAAATAATAATAATAAATTGACCTCCTACAATGTTGTGCTTGAGGAGCTTTACAAAATGCAGTAAACAAGAGTTCTCAATTTTTGGTAGAAAATTACATTTTATAACAAAATCATGGGGAGAAGTAAAAGGTCAAATCCAAGGTTGACTGTATTAAGAATGAGAATATAGGACTTCCCATCCAAGTTCAATAGAAAATCAAGACCTAGGAAATTTGGGCAGTGTGGTTCACGGTGAAAATTAGGTTACATCCCTATACGTCCCCACACCAATACTCCCCTGTAGTATCGATGTGGGGAAGCAATGATGTGGGGGAGTATCAGTGTGGGGGAGTAACAGTGCGCCCACATCAGCAATTTTACTGTGGATGTATTGATGCGGGGATCTATCGGTGTGGGGTCATATCGATGCGCACTATACACAAAAATTTACGAAGGGGGAGTATCGGTGCAGGGGAGTATCAACAGATCCCAAAAATTAGGCCAAAGATTGCATTCAAGGTCACAGGAAGACTCAATATATGAGTTCCTATTCAAGGTCAGATGTAAATATGGGCATATCTCTGGATGAGTGCTAGTATATGACTTCCTATTCAAGTTCAGCAGTAAGTGTGTTCATATTTCTGCCAGTTTTGGAGATATAAGGGCCAAAAAAGTTTTAAAGTGTAGTGTATGATGAAAAGTAGTCCAATTTCAAGTCCTAGTTAGATTGCTAGTATATGACTTCCTATTCAAGTTCAACAAGAACAACTATGGGCATATCTCTGCCAGGTTTGGATATATAAGGTCCAAAAAAGTTTAGTGCATTTCGTGGTTGAAAAGTAGGTCAAAAGTCAATTTCAAGGTCACAGACAGATTGCCATTAAATGACTTCCAAATTAAGATCAACAGTAACTATGGGCATACCTATGCTAATTTTGGAGTATTTCACATTTTATTTTCACCACTGAATATTGATACGTTGTACTTTTTCAGATATCGCAACTCTTAAAGGGACAAAAAATAGGATTTGAAACACATTCTTAGTGCATGGATTGCTTCATGTTGAACTTATCTGAGTACAGTTGCAATGTTTAAAACATAAAATGGCAGATAAATGGCCTTAATCAATATCGTAAAAAAATAATCATATTCACCATCTTCTTTCAAACCCCAGTAGTCAGCCATCTTGACAGTTTGAAATAACGTGGCTCCTAGACTCAGATACAAGGTGTAAACAAACAAAAAGCATGTCTTACTAGAACAGTGGTGAGTATGGGCATAAAGAAGAAGAGGAACAGGTAAGCAAGTTAAGTTCTTTAAAATGGGAAAAGTAGCAGGGAAATCAAAACATCTGACAGTGAAAGTTAAGTAGCTTCCGTGCTAATAAACATTTCTTTTGAGTAATGCACTCACAGTCCCCAAATCACTCGCACTAAGTACTGCAACTATAGTTGTAAAGTATGGTTGCATGCTAACTTACCTACTGAAATATTAAATCTTTACAAGATACTGTAACTGGATTGCAATGTTATGACTCACAATTAATACCATTAGGAAGAAGGGGGGAGGGGGCAGTATGCTGAACCTACTGTGGTTATATTAAGCGAGGCAGTGCATGTTGCCCCTGAGGTGTATAGTTCTTCAAGATACAATGTAACTCGAGGGAAGGGGGGTGTTCTTTGAACAACATTTATTTGTAAATTTAAAATATTGTTAGTGAATATTATAAGGAATTAATTATTTAGCTTTTCAGAGAAGGAACTGGGTGATACTCCCCTTCAAGCAAGAATGGAGATATTCGGTATGTTCATATTTTTATACAGTACCACAGGTAAATTTTAGATCAGTTATTTGAAATCATGTCTGTTGATGTAATTACTTCTTTTGCCCTTTATGATCTAATGGAGCTATAGCTATTTAAACTTAATTATTCTGGTTCTTAATCAAAAGCTGGCAATCATGTAATGATCATGCCCTCTAATTTGTGAACTTTTTGTTTAAGAATAGTGCTGTTATGATTATATCACATTTTTTCTTTATTTCCATTTTATATAATTTAACTATTACAGTGCCTCAAGTTATTTCTGGAAAACTCATACCAAGAAGCACTAAAATCTCAGAAAACTGCATCACTTCAATGTCGGCGTGACAAGTTGTATAAAAGAATGCTACAAAAAGTGAGCATTGATGACAACAAAATCCACCACCTTTTACCAACAACAAGTGAGCAGTTTTATATAATAGTGATGACATATTTAAAGTGCCAAAGAGAAAGTACCATTTACCCTTATATAATCTGTTAAATATGAATTTTTTGGCACCAAATCCTCTTTTGTGTCCTTTCAAACCTTATTTAAAAAAGTTTTAAAAAAACTGACACCACTGCCAATTTTGCGCCTCACAAGCTCTACAAAATGCAAAAAACAAGAGGTCTCTAGCATTTACAGATCCAGAATTAAAGAGAGGTTTCAGTTTTGGCATCTAATGGCTGCTTCTCCCGTGGGTTAAGTCTGTGTAGTTTCTGAAAATAGACACAAATAAATTTTTTTTGCAAATATTTGAAATATCCATATCTGGCTTTGTCAGCCATGTATAGTAAATTTTCCCATAATTCCTTCGGTTGGAGAGATATTTGGCATTTAAAGGTTCATCGGGGGGATCCCCACACCCAGATCCATGCACCGACAAAGTCCAAAATTTACCTGGATTGAGTTGAGATTATACCTGACCTAAATCCAAGAGATTGGTACGCAGGCTCTTGTAGATGGACGAGACAGGTCAGGACTAAAACTATGTGTCTGCCAGCTCTGCGCTGGTGGTACAACAACATGGTATGAGAGCTGATCTGTGACTGATTAACAGGTTCAAGCTGGTATGACTAGCAGGTTCAACCTGATACATGTGACCTAATTCCATAACAGAAAAGTATATTAAAGTCTATGTAGATTTTGAGGATATGTGGTAACAAAGACCTGATTCTTTTGGAAAAGCTTGGGCAAAGCTGGTGTCAGACTGGGCAATGCTGTTCCAGGTCATATTCAAGGCACTTCTAGAAAACATAGTGCAACAATCCAACCAGACTGGTTTTGGATCTCAAGTTTTATTTCAATCCTATGAATCTGAGAATGATAAACAATTTTGTGTGTGCGTGTGCATGTGTGCGTTTGTAAAGAAATATTTCAGGCAAGCACATAGTGATGGCAGCCAGCTAGAAAAATTCCTAATCACCCAGGAGTCATAACTCTGAAATAAGTTGAGATATCAATTCAAAGTTTTATTTAATTTTTTAATAGTCCCTACAATATCTACAAAATATGTGATAATCAGATGACAAAGGGTACCATTGCTGGATGAGTTGATATGGACACCACCCCCCCCCCCCCCCCCGTCAATCTGCAAAATAAGAAAATTCAATATCATATAATCATGTACTTACTCATGATGTTTCTTGTTGCTTTGCACAAGGTGCTGTTTATAATCTGACCAATCAAACTCCTTTTTCTCGCATAATTTCTGATACTTCTTGCCTTGTAAATAGCTCTTGATGATGGCAGACTTGTAAGGCATTTCATGACCAGATAGCTTGCATCTTACCTAAACAATATAATAAAATTATGAATGAACTAGACAAGGCAGCAAAGCTGTCAAATGTACAGACAAAAAAAGAAAATAAAGATGCAGAAAATAGGTCAATTTGGATGCAATAATAAATAATGCACAGTCAATCAACATTGAATTTTAATCAACAAGTAACATAGTCAATAACAGGAGCGGATCCAGAGATATTTTCTGACAGTATTCCAAATTATCTTTGTTGATCCATCCTCCATTTATGATGGTCTTCACACAGAAAAAAGTAAATACCCGTCAATGTAAACTTTAAAATCTGACAGTCTTCCGGAAGACCCAGAGGACATCTGTTATTCATCTATAGCATCAATGTTGGCACTGCATAAAATAATTTTTTACAAAACTTATTTGCAATATTAAACATTTGCCTGCATAATTATCACTGCTTCCTTATCATGGACACTGTTATCTGGAAAAGAGCTTAACCTATGGGAGTTTACAGGGAAATCTCAAAATGTGTGTTTTATGTAATCTCATTTAATGGCCACTTGAAACTTAATTAGGCAAGTGACTAAATAGCTCTGAACTTAGCTCAAGGGAAAATTACAGACTGACCACCCAAATGTGACTGACAGAGGTCTTCAGGCCCCTGAAATTTCTACGTCACGCCTTTAAAAAAGCAGAAAATAATACTGCACAAAATAGGAGATTGTCAATTCTGCTGCAATAATACATTATGTTTAACTGCACAGTCAGCATCAAATTTTAATTATGCACAACAGGTTAAACCAATGAAAGTAAAAGCATTAAGCTTCAGGCCAATGATTAACTGTGTAAATACAACTAATTTTAATTATCTACTATTAAAAAATGGACATTAACAAAATTTCATTTCCACTGGGCTTCATGTCCATGGGAGTCTCACATTGAAAATTCCAATATGTGAAAGAAAAATTTACATCTAATTTACATCAAATTTACAAAAATGTACATCTGGAAAAGAAGCCAATTAGACTGCTTTTCCAACTCAGGCTGCATTTTAGTCCTATGTTTCTTTCCTTAAGTTTAAGAAGAGTAATGAGATATGGTTTTTCTTTCATGGTCATTATAAAGGCAGTGCCCAAAATAGGGTTTTCTCCAATTTTGATTCAATATTACATAATGTTGAACAGGATAATGACCATCAGTTTTTGATAATAAAATAAAAGTATCACGGGTATTCAGAAAATGTGACTAGCAAAGGTCTTCAAGCCCATGGAAGTTCAAAATTTTGATATATGAAAATTTTAATTCTAACAAAAAACTATAATTTCCAGAAAATTTAAACAATAAGACATTTTCAAACTGAAGCTGTATTTTAAGCCTATGTTACTTTTCTGTAAGTTTGAGAAGAGTAAGTGACATGGTTTTCCTTGAAATCTGTCATCAGTGTTGCACATTTGCTGAAAAAAAAAGCAAAAAAAAACAACATAACTTATTAAATAATGACCCAATCATCAGACTTTATGATAGGCCAAAAATCTATCAGACGTTCGGTCAGACAAGCTTGAATATTCTGTTGAACCAAAACAAAATCTCTCAGACCAACGTAAAATAATATAAATATGACAAATTATTTATGTATTCAGGTGCATTTTTTAATGTTTTTAATCATCAACATTTAATCTTATATTAAATAATTTGTAAAAAAAAATATGATAAAAAATAAAAAGAAACATAATTAGACAAAAAATTATTTGCATAACAAGTTGTTTTTTATCTAATGAAAAAGACGTTGTAGAATGACACGAGGACTAAAAACAACATATGTATGAAGAATGTGTAGCCAGTTATATCAAACATATACATATACATGTCCATAAAAACATCTGTTAATCAGATAACCATTTCGGCCGTTGTTTTTGGCAATAACACATGAAGTCAGGCAGTCTCTTTCATCCAACTGAAGCTTTGATAAGGACTGTTCAGCCTGAGTCTAAATTCTGCCTTCAATTTATTTCTTTTTGATTTATAAAAAGAACCTCAAACTGTGAGCCTTCATCAAGTTAATGTTTACTTTCTCCAACTCGTGGTCGTGAATGGCACATGTACATACAAGTGTCCGATAATTTTCAGAACCCGTAATAAAGCTGTAAGATTTATGTTGCGGTTGATCATAATGATAACTTTAGTACTCCTGACACTCATTACACACCATTTTCCTCTCCTCCTGATAAACGGTCTGCAAGGGCCTACCTACTTTCCAATTTTAGTAAACTTCCGATTAATCTGTTCCTCTTGCTCAATTCATTTTCATTTTTGCCGCATTGTGCACCAACGTAGTATTTTAAGTTCAACAACGTCATTTTTCTAAACAAAAAGCTTAGCCATGAGTAATGTGCACAACTGATAATGAAGAAACATACGTTTAAGTCAGACTGTAAAAATGTGAAAATCATGAGCACATGTGTTGCAGCCATTTTGTCGTGTAAGGATAATACAAAAATGAAAATGAGACTGTCAATTACATCATCCAGGAATCCCAAACCTCAGCCAGTCACAAAATAGTATATGCCAGTGAAACTGAGGTTAATAAATCATGTAAAATTGGCTAGGAACTCCCCGTGATTTTCATCCCGTCTCTCTTTTTGAAGTAAAATATATCATCGGAAAAAGAAACAACAACGTATTTCTTATATTTATACATTGAATTTCCCAGTCAGTTTGTAACCTCGCCTGACATAAGGACCATCGATACAGGATTTTTATTGGACTGAGACTAAATTTGCCAGGCATATGTGAGGGTCTGACGCCTTTTGTAAAGTCTGCTGATCATGCTGATTTTCAAACTTGACCTGCATATTATTAGGTATATCACAATCTGCTAGGGGCGCTACAGTAGTAACTATCCAGGGGCAGTGAAGTGCAAAACCGAGACCGTCCTGCTAACAGCTCACCTATGACATCCCTTTTTTTAAATATCTCTTTTAACTCCATGTAAATAAACTAATACAAGCCATTTACTAAATAAGCTGTAAATCAAAGAGTAAATTCCGGTCACGTGATTTTCCCCGTGTTGCAGTCTTAGAGAACTTTGATTTGAGGACATTTTTAAGTTTTGCCTCGACAAAATGTTAAAAATTTCAGATAAGCACTGCATGGAAGTTTTTGTAATTTATTCTGTGTAAAGTTCATGAAATTTGCAATATTATGCCGAAAAATCATGAAAATTGAACCATGCAAAGTATAGTTTATTTGATGCGCAATATTTATAGTACATGATCTGCACGGAAGTCATCCCAGCCATGTGCTTGTGCAGTCGCCAATTTGGGTTTGTTTCTGGGTCATTAGATTAACATACAGCCCCTAATTGGTCACAAGCAATTTGAGCTACGCTACAGCTGAGTTCATTGCTGGTCAGTAGTCACAGGTTTTTAGCTGAAGAGTGTGAACACTTTTGGTGAATTTTTGCAGTTAAAAAACTTCAATATCTTTGTTGCTTGTAGAAATATTTTAAAAATTCCAAAAGAATTCATCTGTTTTTTGTATTACCTTTCAGAATATATAAGTATAATAATTTTCTGATCAGTTTGAAAAATTTTCTGATATACCTAATATTATGAATATTCATCAGTTCTGTAAGTTTCAAGCCAAAAGGGCACTACAAATGGTTTTCCACTTATCGTGTTTTCGGTGAAAGTGCAAGGCAACGGGTACGAGAATCGCAGGTGATGGCTATATGTACACACACACCTGTGTCTGTATATAAAAAGAGGGGGTCGTATTGACCCTCATACGCAAATGGCAATTTGTGAATGATCGATGAAAGACGAGCGTGTATACGTGCGATTATGCGGGGTTGTTTAGTTATCCATAAGAACTGTATATTCCAAATATATGTAAAAAAGAAGCAAACATTATTTCACACTCACTTTGTTTGTTTCTTTGACATACTCTAAATCTGTATTTTTTCGTAAAAGTTCCAGCACGTCTGAGTGGGACATCCTGTCATGTTTTCTCTACATCTATGATGTTATCGTAAAATATCGCGTAAGGTAGACCCACAATGCATCATTTCGTGAATTTCCGCTTCCGTGTTCCATGACAACTATGTAAACTCAACATGGCGACTAAACAGATATTTTTGCAGGTATGATTTCAATATTTTCCATCTTATGTACTAATATTAGAAATATATAACTTTCAGTTGGTAATCATATGTGAATCATCTCATAAGTAATAATTATTTGCATGTAAGTTTTTCTCTCATGCGTCTTTGTGGTTTTTTAAGAAGTTCATTCTTCCTATTTTTTAGTCCGAAGTACACTGTACTAAAGTCAAATAAGAAGCTAATTTACTCACTACGTGTAATTCTTCCTGACAAGAGAGCATTTACACTCCTTTTTTGTTTCAAAACAGATATAACAGGCATTCACAACGTAATACAGCTTTAGTCTTGACATTTCAGATTTCCTAAAACAGTGCTTAGTACAGAATGAGTACTGCAGTAGTACCAAGAGAGATGCAGCTAGCACCCAGCCCTCCTGGGGCCCAAAAGAGTACACCCTCAGAAACCCCCCGGAGTATTAAAAAGGCAGTAGTGCCCATTACAAAAGACAGAAATAGTAGGTTATTTACAGTGTCAGTATATTAAATTAGTTTCGTTAGTTGTTGGTAATTGTAATAATATTCTTACAGTCGGGATGACATCACACGTCCTAGCAACCAGCAAGTTCACCAGAAATGGGATATAACAAATTGAAAAACATGGCAGATTGCATTGATTTGTATGTTAAAGTTGTCAAAATTTGTCCGATGATATCATATTTCACAGGGTTTGACTATTTGTGTCAGGGAGGAAAGGCTATTCACTAGGTTGATTTCCGTTGCTGGCCCTTGTAATAAGCAGCTGCACACTTGGTTAAGAGATAAAAAATTGGCCTTAGATATCGATCGTTATCTGTGATCAGGAATCTTACAACTGTCGATTGCAAGAACTCATTTGCTTACCTGGATGACCGTAATATTCATATCTCTTTGAAGAGCACATCTTCAACAAGCAATTGATTTTATCAACTTTTGACATTGCATTGCTGGCAAATGTTACAGGTAAATTTTAGGCTTGACGGTACTGTTACTGTGTATCTCTGAGTTAGTCATACAACAGTGATACACATACAAAAGCAAAATGGCAAAAGCTTGTAGTGTACCAGGCTGCATTGCCAACACATCCAAAAAATCGGATAGGAATTTTTTAATTCCCAAAGACTATGCATATGTGACAAAAGACATGTTTTTTGATCAAAACAAGATTTGGTCCTTTACTACAAGATATGTGTACTAGTATGTGTGTTCAGTTCATTTTATTACAGATAAGGAGAGAGTCGTTTTGCATTATCAATACTGGTAACAGTAGTGTTTTTCTCCTTCAAAAAGTCATCAAGCAGGTGTTTATACTGTCCTCCCAGGCATGAATTAATACATGTATACAGACCAAAGGAAGCCTTTGGAGTGAAGCCAAAGCCTTTATAACATTACCCCCATCCCATTCCCTCTGGCTGTTTAGCACAGGTGATTTAATACAGTTTTTGGTAACTTTATAATGATGATTATGTTCTTATTACTTCTTGGTGATGGACACTTTCCAGGTCTTCCTCACATTCCACATCTGAAAAAAATGCGTTTTTTTTTTCACCACCTCATACTTAGGGTTGACACTTGTGTAAGTGTCAGTTAAGGCTGATTTTATCCCATAACCAGTAACACAGTGGCTAATTACAAAGGCCTATGAAGGAAATCATCCAGGTAAATGGCACCCCTCCCCCTGATATAAGTGGTCAAGCACTGTGAAGTACAATACCGTCAGACAAAGTCTGATAACTTTGATATAGAAGTCAATGCAATCTGCAAGATTTTTTTATTTGTTGTACAAAAATTCAATACTAGGTTATTAATATTCTTAATTCAACTTGACCATCTTGGTATGGTCTATTTATCAATCATCGGTTCATCTGCCATATTGGCCACTCAAGAAGATATAGTAAGTGGCTCTTCTTGGCAATATGGCAGTCTCTTCTTGGCAATATGGCAGACACCCCGACAATAAACAAATCATACCGTTTTATAATTTAAGTTGGGTCAGTGATATTTATTTCCTGGTAATATATATTGCTTTTATAATTCACATTTTCTTGAGATTGAATATTTCGTATGATGTTTTAAAGTACATGTACTTGCTTCCGGCATCATTTCTGTTGTATTATATTGCACTAAGATGCTCTGTACAATACAGTGTATTGTGTACGGCATCTCAGTACAATACAATGTGGTGTATTGTGCATTTTAGGTAGACCAGTGGTTATATTATTAGCATTTCTTCTCATACATGATATCCCAAAATCATAATGTGCATGTTGTCAAAAATTGTATTTACTGTAAAATCTCAAATAGAATTAGACTTTTAAAAAATTGTTCAAAATTATTTTCCAAAGGGCGACCAAAATAATTGCTGGAATTTCAAAATGCAAATTAAAGAGAAATGATGATTTGGGAGATAGGACAATTTTCTGGTGTTTAGACCAGCTACTTGCATGAAATATGTTTTGAAAGAAAATCCAAAATGTGGTACGTGTTTTTCATTCTTGTATTTTTGACATGACAAATGTAAGTAGATTGCAACTGAAATATACATCTAACAATTTAGTGATGATAGTTAAAAATGAAATTGAAATACAGGGTGGTCCTTAAAAAAAAAAACATTATATTTCCACCTCAATTTAAATAAAGCCGTTTTTATGGACCACCCTGTACTTCATTATTTTGTTTTAAAAGCTTTAAAAACAAATGCAATAATATGGTTGGGAATAGTGTTAAATAGTTGGATGCATTGTCACGTATTTAAGGATCATTTCCAGCTGCTCTATCTCCACTGAGGACCAGTGACCAGGTGGTGGATAGAACCAAGCCTCTGCCCACATCCTTACAGAGTGACTTTGTACCAGAAGATCTGTTGTTTGCATTGACACAGCCCCCAGTGCCACAGGAACAGCTTGGACCACCTCCAAGATTCAGGAATCTAGATGTTTCAAATGTAAGTTTATGTTGAATACTGAGGCTAAATATACAATTTGTTTGTAAGATTTGTATTATTTTGTGCCTGTGGATAAACATCATGTTTTTAATGAGTTTCAGTGGGGAGCATATCAATGCATCCGTGTAAAGGAAGACATCTTAGGTCCTTATTCACAGCCAAATTATGTTACAAACTGTAAGCAATTATTTTTTTCTACTTCTTATTTGTTATTTAATCTTTCAGAATAAAACAAGAAGGAAGCCAGCCAATGTATGGAATTTTTCCAAAAGAAGAGATAAATTTAAGCATTTGACAGAACAAACACTCTGTTCTTGTGGTGCTGGAAAGTAAGTTACAATATATTAATTGGCATATGAATGTTTTCTTTGTTATATCGCTGGATTCTATCTGCAGGTTCGAGGGAGGAGGGGGGATAGTGGAATTACCTTGTGAGTCCATCTGTCAATCTGGGTGAATTTACTTGAAGACTTTTATGCTAGGATGATGATAGGGACATTTAACTGTCTGAATGGCCTTGTGTTAGCCTCTCAAGTAGGATGGTTCAAGCCATCTGAGGACATGCCAGTCATTCATAAATGGTACCTGCTGTCCCCCCTTGACACTCAGTACTCAGGGGTTGGGCCAGGGGTAATTTTTCCTAGTCTGGCAGTGAAAGATTTTGTTTATTTGCTGGCTTTCTTGGACTCGGATGCAGCAACATCAACACCCAGTCTGTATCAGGGTCAAAAATTACAAGACTTCTATAGTAAATTGCACTGAGATGCATGTAGAGTTCAGTGAAAAGAATTAAATTTTACTTTCTTTTCACATTTGTCATGACCAGATGATGTGCAGTATGGATATTCTGGTCACCAGGTTATAGGCCAAGGTCCCTGAATCCACCATAAATTTGAATTAATATGTTTTATTGTTTTCCATATGTTTAGTTGCAATTTTAACTCTGACGGAGAAACGTCATTCTTGTTGTAGGGATATATCTTTCCTTTATGATGTACCAGAGCCAGAGAAAAATCCAGAAGAAGGTAAACCAGACCTCTATGATGTCAGTGTTGTTAGGAAAGATGAACTACCAAAGAAAAGCCTTCAGCTTCCTGATACACTAATTCCTGAGGAGTATCATGTTGTGAAAAACAAGGGAGTTATGGGACTAGAGTACCACGATGAGTGAGTTTAACCTTTTTTTCTTAAAATTTTAAAAATTCACTGGAGGGAATAAGAAAAGCAAAGTCATTAGTTAAGATATTTCAATTTCATATCAAGAAATTATTCCCTGCATTACATTATAATCCTTTTTTCCTCATAATAGCCCAGTGCTTTTTTCATAACTTGAATAAATTATGTGCCAATTTTATGAGAATTTGTGAAAGATTATTTCATAACAGCATATTAAAAAAAGTGATGTATTTCAGTAAATATACAACAAAACCAGAAGACCATGTTCAGCATCTAGTGATGTTCCCATCAATGTAAGTATTATTTGTGTACATCCATAAATATTTAGATTGATAAAAGAAGATGATGTCTATGATTACTTTAAATTTCTGTATACAGACATTATTATTTTTTGAAAAATGAATGAATAGCACTCACCATGTATACTACTATATTCAAAAATTGCAGAATGGAAATATAGCCTTATTCGGGCATATAAAGTTGGTTTTAAACTAGAAAAAGTGTCACAATCCATGGGATGTAGTTCTTACGAAAAGTATTGTTGTCTCAGATACCAAAACATCCATACAGTTATGCAATTGACTGCAATTCAGCAAAACTTAAGAGGAATCAACCAGGAAGTATCATGATATGACTTCCCTTAGCAAATTATCGGGCCTACTGCAAATTAGCAGCAATAAATTTTTTCTTGCAAACTCCTGCAAGCTCTTTGCTGCAGAGTTTGCACCAATATTAGCATACTTTTCATTTTGCTCAGGGGTTTATTTGTTGCCACACCACACTTACTAGTCTGCCATTAATCTTTATCCCACTCTCCTCCAAATCCTGTAAATCTTGTCTGATTTTACAATAATTTCTACACTTTATGCTATCTTGAATGAGGCCCATGCATGTTGGCAATTTGACTGTGACAAATGCAACTTATATTGAAAAACAGTTTTAACTTTTTTTTTTTAATATTTTAAACACAATTCTGGTATCATTTTATCAACAATATGACACTTTTCCTTGATAATTTGTATAACTCCTTTACTTGAATAATAATTATGGGTTCCTGTAAAATGCCTCATGTACTGGTATCAATTTATCACTCAGGAAACCTAGCAGTAGATATGAAGTGATACAACTGAAGAAAACAATGGAGCAGATGCTAGACAGGCTGGGCATTGATGATGATGACATTGAAGTCAAGGGACCAACACAGATGCACAATCTTCTTGAACTTATTAAAAAGGAGCAAAACATCTTTAATATTGTGTTCCACGAGTTGATAAGACAGGTGAGAATTCTTTATTTGCTAAGACAAAAGACTGAAAACATAAGTTAGTACCTGAGTTAAAATTTTTGAAACTTGTGACAAGGTTATTATATGTGTCAATTGAATAGATTGATAATCTTATCCTCCTATCAACATCAAAAGACGGTCTACAGCACTTGCTGCATAAACTCGAAAGGTACTGCTTAAAATGGAAATTGCATGTAAATGAAAACAAATCAAAAGTTGTTGTCTTCAACAAGTCTGGTAAAGTGGATAAAAATACAAAGTTCTTTATAAATGCCAACCCGATCGAGACTGTGAAAGAATACACTTACCTTGGTATCACCTTTGCTAACACTGGGTCAATGAAAAAAGCAATAGTAAATCTAAAATTAAAAGCAATGAAAGCAATGTTCTCATTGAAAGGTGCACTTTCGTCACAAAACTTATCCTCACCTCTCCTATATTTAAAACTGTTTGACAAAGTGGTAAGGCCAATACTCCTCTATGGCTGTGAAGTTTGGGCCCAAGAAATATTCAAAGAAAAGAAAATGACCCTGAACAAAATTAACCAAATGCCTTTTGAGCAAGCACATTTGAGAATGTGCAAATGGGCACTGGGTTTGAGTAAACACGCCAGCAACAATGCCAGTCGCGCAGAGCTCGGTCGTTATCCTTTATATACTAACATTGCTAAACAGGTACAACGATACTGCCAAAGATTTGGAAATCTACCAAATAACAGAATAGTTAAACTCACCCATGATGCAGAACTGACAATAGGGGAAAAAGGTTGGCCAGGAGCGATTAATACTATGTTAACAACTTGGAATCTTCACAGTGAAAATGTCCCAGGGGTTCAGCAAATCCAAACACATTGCAATATTGAGGAAAAAATCAATGCTAAAATTGAAAAAATGTTCTGGGAAGAGTTAACTGATCCTCAAAGCACCAAGTTAAAAACTTATAGTCTGATAAAAAAGTCCTACAAAATTGAAAAGTACCTGCTAACTAATGCCCCTCAGTCATTAAAAAGGGAAGTGGCTAAAATTAGAGTCAGTGATCATATTCTGGAAATGGAAAGAGGACGCTACACCAGACCTAAAACACCACGCGAGGAACGATTCTGTCCCCACTGTCCTGCAATCGAGGACGAAGTGCACTTCCTACTAGAATGTAGACACCATGTAAAAGAGAGGGAGGGCATGTTAAAACAATTCCCTAAATGTGACATGCATCACCTAGCAAGCAGTGACGAGAAGGTTAAAATCATACTAAGCCCAGAAAATGAGAAAGAATTGTACGCTGTTGGTAAATACATTCAGAGGGCAATTTCCAAAAGAAATGAGCATCTGCCACACTGAAGTAGCCTCATCCTGCTATATATTATATGAACCATAAGTATGGCACATATACATATGATGTAATATAATGTATTAAATGATACATATAGCTATAAACTTATCAAAGACAATGTGTGTTCCCTCAGTGTATTGAACTATTTACAATTGTAATAAGTAATTTAAACAACCTATACACTGTAATTAATAATCTTAAACACTGTATTAGTAGTAATCCATAGTGATGTATAACTATTTATTTATTTATATATTTGTAGTATAGAGGGCTAACAAATGTAACTGCCACATTTAATGCTCGAATAAATTATTATTAATAGGAGAAAAAGATACTAATTTTATGCTATATACCCTGTATTATCACAAACTAAATATTTTCTATATCAGACATAAGCTTTTTCCGTGGAAACGCTGGATTCCGTGTTTTTTTATTCAATTCTGATGGTTCCTGAGATTTGTCAAGATCTGCAATAAAATCTGGTTCAGAGTTTTTTTTTTTTTTTTTTTCAAACCTAGGCTCATGACTAGGCTCATATAACCTTTATAGATATTATTACAGATGTATCTATAGCAGGTTTTGTTTGTGTTTCAGACCAGTGTAGAGTGTGTTGAGAGGGGAGAACTATTGTCAGATCTGAGGAATAAATACAGTGGATTGCTCAATAAAGTGCCAAGGCAAATAAAAAGGTAATGGGAAGTGTATTGTATATGAGCGCATTCTCAACGAATAAAGCCAGGCTTTACAAAGCCGGTGACCTAAAAATGGCGGACGTACATGAAAGAAAAACGGCCTAATCTTTTAATAGTCTCTCCGCCTCCCCACACGTCGTCCCTGCGGGGTACAGTAATTAAATCGCGTCTCCGTTCGCCATGCGGAAGCTACCTGAGAAATATTAAGTGCGCATGCTCATCAGTTAAACTCGTGATGAAGAAAGCATGGCGGCTGAAGGCGATCGAAGGAAAAAAGCTCTTCTGTTCTATTATCTTTGAAAACAGAGACGAAAAAGGAATAATTTGACCCGTAGAGCAACAATGAATCGACTATCTACGGAGATAATATCACCAGAGATATTCACGGAAATATTAATGTTCGGAGCCGAGATTTAATTACTGTACCCCGCAGGGACGACGTGTGGGGAGGCATGTGAGAGGCGGAGAGACTATTAAAAGATTAGGCGGTTTTTCTTTCATGTACGTCCGCCATTTTTAGGTCACCGGCTTTGTAAAGCCTGGCTTAATTCGTTGAGAATGCGCTCTAAGTCCTTATATATGGTAAATTTTATAATGCACTCTTTTATAAAAAGTTCACCACTCTTGTAAATTGATAAAAACTCAGACTTTTGATTTGACCTTTTCATGTCCGTTTATAGTCAAATGCCAAAAAGGTTATGTTTTTATCTCTGTTTGTTTATCTTCAGTCTAACTCAAAAAGGTCATGGATGGATTTTGATGAAATTTCCAGGATAGGTCAGAAATGGACAAACTTAAAAGTGATTAGATTTTGGTGGTGATCCATTAACCAGATCACTACCTTGATCCAAAAATCTTGAAATGATTCTTCAGCATTGTGAGATATGGTCCATGACCTTGACCCATTGTGTTCTTACATTTATAACTACTACAATTTATCACTGTAAACTTTATTGGCAGAGGTCTACAGTCTGTGAGTGCTTTTCCAGTTAGTATAATAAATTTAAATTTTAATATAAAAATGACATCTTTCTTTGAGGCTCTTTCATATATACAAAAAGTCCACAAGTTGTGAAAATTAGGCAACATTTTTTTTTTCGATCTGTGGTCAATGTCATTTTATTTTATTTTAAGAAAATGTAATTTTATTTTATGGGAAATTTAACTCAATCCCTTGCTTAAAGTATATACATTTACACTGCAGAGTAACTGGCTGGTGCAGACTATGGATGGTGTTAACCATCAAATTTACAAAAATCATTATTTTTCAGGAGTAGTCATGAATTTGTCATGAATTTGTCCTAAAACAATTAAGACCACATGATTTACTAGCATTCATGTATGGGCTGTTTTAGCTCATATGTATCCTGCTGTATATTTGCCCTTTAGGTGTTGCTTCTACAGTTTACTCTGAATATTCACATCTTGTTTTCAGTCTACATGAAGAAGTGTTAGCTCAGAGAGCACTAGATAGAAGATTAACAGAGGAGCTCATGAGATTTAAAAACACTATAGGAGTACTTACTGAGTAAGTGTTGGTTGATTTTTATGAACAGTCTCTGTACGTATATATGTAACCATCACCTGTCATTGCCATTGTTGTAGTCTTGATCTGAAATACCAGTACATGTGGAGTAAAAAATTTTGATCTAATCTGTTTTGGAAAAAAATATGTTTTTAAACATTATCTTGCATCAAAATTGACAAAAAGCCTGTTTTGTGTTATTTTTTCTGTTTTGTTTTCAAATACTAGTAGTAAGTGTCTTTCTACATGCATATGATGATTCCCTGGTGCTTTCCATCCCAGTACCATAACTGTCACTGTCCTAAATATCAATAATTTTCTGCCAAAAGCATTTAAATTAAATACCACTTTAAATGAATTACTGGGGTATGTTTTAGATCTAGAACTTGTCTTAAATAGCAAACTCAGTGCAGAAGAAGTAGTGAAATTTTGCAAGGCAGGTTTGAACTGTTCATGAAGTTCATCAGTGTAAACGTGATGCTAACTGGAGTGTGCCTGTCTATGTTATAATGGCTCAATGAGAATTAGTTTTTCTGATATAAGTTTACATATTTGTAAGCTTTTCTGTCCAATTTTAGTTTATCCACAGCATTGTCTCATTGTTAATCTTAACAAATTCCATTTATATGAATTACATTTTACTTTTTATACATTGTCAGTATTTATTTTGATATTGATTCATACTTGTATTCCACACTGAAGCAACACAGCTGATGCACTTTAAGTAGTTTTACCTAAACTACTATCTTTACAGTGAACTGTCCCAGGTAAAGGAACACGATAAAAAAGTAACACAGCAGGCACACCAAGCCCAAGAAGAACTAAAGAATGCCCTGGTAGACTCAGAGAAAAGTGCCAGTCTTCTAGCAGAGTACCATGACCTGTATGAGCTCCAGAGAATTAGACTGGAGAAACTGGTTACCATGCTCTCAGAGGAGAAAGAATTGTGGAGCACTGCAGCATACAGCTTGGCACTCAAGGTATTAGGATAGATGTACAGAGGCACTCATGCTTCACCAAATGAAGAAAGAAAGAGTTACAATTTTAGACCCTCTTTAATACTCGTGTTTAAATATGTATTCTGTTCTATCTGTTTTGGGTGTTTTGGTATTTTTTGTGTCTGGTTACAAGGTTAGCACATGTTTACATTTATAATTGTGTATAGTCTGGCAAATATAAAAGAGACAAGTTAATTATAATTTTAGTGTGACTAATTATTAAATAATGCATCTAACTTTGTGCTTAATCAAAATAATAAAAAACTCCTCGAAAATATAAAATAACGGTATTTAAATTTTTTATTGCTATGTACAAGCATAGGCAACTCAAAACTTTTATATCAGTTTAACACCTTTCAATTTTTGAGGTGAGATTGCAATTGGTATGAGGTGTTACTTCATACCTAAACAAGATTTTTTCCCAAAAATTGGCGTAGTTGGCCACAAATGTATGGACTTCAATTACGTGCTATCACAAAATAAAGACATAATTATCTGCTATCCAAAAGAAAGTACCCTTGTATGTAAGGCAGTAAATAAGGAGTTTTTGGCAAACGCTTACAGTATCCTTAAAGCAATTCAATTATTCATTCATTTGTTCATCATAGCTCACTGGATTTTGAATATCTGTTCAAGGTTACAGAAGAACACTCCCTGAACACAGCAAAGAGGCTTCACATCAGTGAAAAAGCCTGGGCAAAGCTAGCCAATCACTTCACCATTCTTCTAAGTGACAAAGATACAGAGGGTATCACAGCACTCACAGAGTGTGTAGAGGGGTGGAGAGAAATTACTGAGAACTTTAATAACGAGATACGAAGAAGAGAAGATGAGATGAAAACAAAGTTGTTGAGTGTAAAAGAAGGACTGACACATTGGATACAGGTGTTCATAAAAATAGCACTGTAAGTAGGATAAAAGCAACAGCATTTGTTCTCCACTTGAAAACGTGCACTTCCACAAATGCACATTCACATGGTTTTTTGAGTTTCTACCGACTTCTAATCAAACAATTTGGCCTAATTTGCCTGCACTGTCTGTGAAAGTTTCACAAATTTTGTAGCATGTTTTTAAAGTTTTTAACCCTTACATTCAGATAAACTATATTTAAATACCAGTAAATTGTCACAACAATTTTGTCTCTTAATTCAGTTTGTCAAGCAGTTTTTATCATTTCAAGTTAAAGCTTGACAATTTGTCACAAAAACCATTAAAAATTTACTTGACAATGTATTACACTTTTAATGCAACTTGACATAAATTATACAGATTTTTTATCTGTAATATTACTTTTGAATTATATCTATATCATATTAAAAATAATATATGGGGTAGATACTGTGTCAGTCATTATCATCCTAAATAGAGAATATGTTAAAAATATTTTGTTTTTTCTATCAGGAACAAGGATGGACAATTCACCAAGCCACCAGATGCAGCTGCTACTCAAGAATTATATGGCTTCATCAAAGGCTGGGAAGAGGTACACGTAGGACATTATTCCATTTCATTTGTGAAACCTTGTGATTTGTGAAGAATTTTATCAGGATTTTCAACAACTTAAAATCAGTAAAGAAAAAACAACATTAAGATTGAATGTTTAAAGTTTTTCAAAAGCAGATAAACAAAATTGAAACTATACTTGCAGTATCTCTTCATATGGTGTGATTTTATATGAGACGCTTATCCATAAAAATGCTAACTTTCAACGTTAAAAAATGGTGTTGCTGCTACTATTATGCTGCTACTATTATGCTGCAGCATATCCTGGACACTTACTCAGCAGTTCAGTCTTGGCAAGAGGTAGATATGATGAAGAAGATACCTGTCTTACATCCCCTCCCTCCCCCACAATCAATGTTAGTGACATGGCAGTAATCAAAATGCATACATGTAGATCTATTGTTTTATGTCATATTAACAATAGAATAACACCTGCAAACAATTTTAGTCTTCAATACTTAAAATGTGTAGAATACTTGTAAAATGCATAGAGTTGACAAATCAGCACAATCTGCATGTTATATCCAAGTTTGACCAGTCACCATATGTAACATTTTACCAGTGGGTGAGTGCACCTGCATGGTTTCACAGCACTCTCCCCTGGCCACAGCTCTCAGCATGTGGAGATATCATCTGATTCAGTGTATTGAAGCTAAACCAGGCAATCACAACAGTATGAATGAATACCCTTGCATGTATTAATGTAAATACCTTTTCATTAATGTCCTTTGTGTTTTCACCAACTACATTTCACTTCTGTGAAAAGGTGCCTTTCCAGTAATGATGTCTAATCTATAAAGTAAAAAACTGAATGGTAAAAAAGGGCCTGCTAATTGTCAAATCAAGCAAATTTACTCTTATGTCTAGACAGAGAAATTCAATTTTTGGCAAGTGTGCATGTGTAGTTGTAAATGTGTTTCTCTCAGGTTTTTATGGATTTCAAAAATTTGTTTTAAAATCTTAGTGGTTTTGTCACTTACACCTTGGTCCCTAAGCTTAAACATTATGAATATTGAACAACCTGTGTGCCATGAGAGGATTGAAATATGTTCTTTATTACTTCTAACCTGCAACTTTTTTTATTGATAAATGTTTATATTGCTATCTGTTCCCATTGAAATGTGTAACAAGTAATTCCTCTTTTTGTAAAATTATTCAAAAATTGATAGGTGTATTGAGTACAAATTAGTCATATCTGTAAAAGTCACTTTTTTATAACAATAGTAATTTAATCCATTCTCAGATTTTGTCACGAGAGATGGAGAAATTTGGTGGTGACCTGTTGCTTACAATGGAAGACATGCTGAGGAAGATGAAGAAACAGATGGAGTCTTGGACAGAGACAGCCATGAAAATCTTCAGTCGTCACAGAAATGAGGACAACAAGGAGCACCATGAATATGGTCCTATGATAAAGATGAATGAGGTAAGTGGGTCAAGGTTATTTTAATGCAAGAGTTATTTGGAAGTAATGGTGTTAAATTTATGAATTTTCATAAGTCACTTATATTCTGATCACTATGTCTGTCTGTGTTTTCATCACAGCCGTAGCCACTGTCGTTGGAGACATCTTTTGTTTGGTTGTATTTGAAGGCATTACCTATCATTGACCCCATATTAGAAAATTTTAGTTAGATTTTTGGTTTAGAGAAAGTTAAGCCATTGTTAAGGTAAAATTTGGTGAACTTTTTTTCTGAATTTTTAGTACGATTTCACCATCCTTCTTGTGTAGACATTACTTATTCTTTTTCTTTAATTTATTTTCTTTTTAAAAATTTTTTTAATGACTGTTTATGTGCCATCATTGATTGTTGCTTCTTTGTACTAGTTACATCACAAATCGTCCACTGTATGCAACATACAAGAGCGTAATTATATTGAGGTGCAGCCAAGATATAATTTGCTCTTGTATATCGCATGCAGTGGACGATGAGTAGTTGTAACTGACTTATGCCACGGCTGGCACTTCAAAAAATAGGATGAACGCACAGAAGCATATGAAAATACAGGAAAGTGTGTAAGCGAAATACAAGTGCAATTATCCCATTGTTCAAAGCACCAGCCATGGTATAAATTATTGTGTGTGTGTGTGTGATGCTGAAGATACTCATATAAGAATTATCTCTCTTTGCTATAATATTGAGAAAATTAAGTAAAGAGTAACATTGTTTCATAAATATTTTGTGTCTACATTTTGCTGTACATTGTCACAAAATGCAGTTGTGTTTAATGATGTTGGTATATCCTGTTTCTTTGTGCTCTGGGCCATTTTCTAATGTATGCTTAACCTTACTAAAACAGCACATTCATCAGGGAATGAATATATTAACATATGATTATCGGTATAACATGCCATTCTTAAAATAGGGAATCATGAAATATTATGGTTCTCTTCACAGCAAGACCAACTTTAAGCACAAAAGTATGCCTACTAAAATACCAAAAGATTAGATTTTACAGGAGTTCCACATCTTAACATTTTAAATTTAGTTTTAGACCAGCACACCTAGTCATTAAGTGATATCATTTGGACAGTTTGTGGCCTGAGATAAGCCTTGTTGTGAACAGAACCTCAGTCTCAGTCTTGTTACAGCTTGGACGAATAATACAGATTATTATTATTATTATTATTATTATTATTATTATTATTATTATTCGCCCAAGGTAACTATCTCATTCTTTGCCAGTTATCTAGTAGTATACTTTGCAGCATGACTATGTACCATACATGTACAGTTTTACATGTACACTCTGCACGTGTTAATTGCTTTAAATGCACTAATCCCCACCTTATTTTCTTCTCTCTTCTCTCTCACTCCCTGCCTGTGCACAGATGCATGTGTTATTTGATGTGAGTATAGCAGGGGTTGCCACTTGCCACAAGACTGGGCTTATTTCACAGATCTTGACACACAGATAAAATTGATTATAATTTGTGGGATTTGAGATTGGACCAAAATAACTCAGATGTGTCATTACAAAGGAAAATAGAAGCAAGCCCAGATTGTATTTAAATTTTTTATCATGCATGCAAATCCTGAGCATTTTAACTCTCAGTGTATGTAAAATATTAACACAATGAGTTTTATCAATTGCATGGCAGATAATTAGCATATAAGTAGCTTTCCTAAATAACTACAATCTATGTTGTCTGTGAAATCATCACTGCTTATCCCTGCACTGGATATCCCATATATTTATATTTTCATTAGCAATTAACTTTCTTCTTTTTACTCAAAATGATGAAATAATTGTTTCAAATTCTAGGAAATTGATGAGCTAATCAAGCAATTTAGTGTCCGACTCACTGGAGAGAATGGTAAGGTGGAAAAGCACAGTAGACATATACCGTATTAGGCTTCGTTCACATGGAAAGTGTATTTTCTAAAAATCTATTTTCTATTTGCAGTATCTTATGATCACGGTCTGTGCCCTGAATACCCTGCGGCGTAATTACTGGCAGCGCGAGCCAGTTACTTATACAAAGCTGTAATTAATTCTCGGCTGTGCTCGCATTCTATAAAATCTCATCCTCCGTTGCTGCACCGCTTGCCATCGGATCATGACGGTTGCACTCATATCTGTACAGCCGAGAATTAATTACAGCTTTGGAAGTAACTGGCTCGCGCTTGGATATTCAGGGCACAGACCGTGATCACAAGATATGCCGCGAATAGAAAATAGATTTTTAGAAAATAGACTTTCCATGTGAACGAAGCCTTAGTCTATTAATGCACAAATGTTGACTTTTAAATAGTTGTATTTTTAACAGAACCACAACATATTCTTATGGCATGAATGCCTGTAACATTAATTTTGGTTTATTTTAAGATCACTTATTTCTAAAATCAATGCTAAAGCTTTATACTATTCACTTCCTTCATGGTTTAGGTACTGCAAGGGTTCTTATCAACCTAAACAACAATCTGGAACTCTGGGACAACAAAATCAACACCATGCTCCACGGTGGTGCACAGCTGAAGGATCAGGATTGGCTGACCTTTTATTCTTTGCTGGATGAGTGGATCCTCTTTATTGATGATGGTGTGCTGCTCATAGGTGAAACACAGAATGAAGAAGCAAAGGCAGCTAAGAAAGAACATAGGAGGTAGGAAGGAATAAAGCTACATGTAAAATTTTGTAGGTGTAAAATGACAAATTGTATACATTATACCAAGTCTTGTTTCTAGACTTTCTTTTAATTTATAATTCCCCTATAAATGGGAAATGATGAAAGATCAGAAAAAAACTTACTCTTAAGTCCATGAGTTCATTCATTGTGGGAATTGCCAGAAAATAACCAAAAAATAACATATCCTAGCCATGTGAAGAATAAGTGATGAATAAGAAGAAGTAAACATTAAAATATTTATACAAATAATATACAGATATTAATACAGTTTTTTGGGTTTGTGTGGTCCGCTATGAGACCCTCCATTTAGGTTGATAACTTACTAAATGGTATCATTTTAGAGTTGAGGTTGCCAGTGTATTCAAAGAAGTACAGAAATGGTTGACATCAGCAGTAAACAGCATAGAAAGTGAAGATGCCAAACTTGTTGAAGAGGTAAGAGTCAGAAGTAATTAATTTGTATGTGTCCTCATAAAATTAATTTTTACTAAATAATCTTTAAATACAGTTGTATTCCCTTGGACTTCAGAACTTCTTTGAACCCAGGGCTGACACAGAAATTTTTTTCAGAATATGTTTTCTCTAAATGTAAAATAATAATGATAATGTAAAAGCATAATAAAAGATGAAATATGGAAATGTTACTAGGTGAATACCCTGCACACAGAGATGGTGAAGTGGATGGTACAAATCCTGCTGCGGCTGGCTCCAGAGAAGGAGGGCAGCTCTACTGAGGCCAGCCAGGCTGCTCTACTGGGGAGTGTGCCAGTATCTCAGATCAAATCTTGTGCCAAGACCATGTGTGAGAGGCTGGACATGTTCTCTAGATACGTCACACAGTATGTGGACATTTTGATACAGTCCCAATATACATATATAATACAGTTGTTTTCCCATGAAATCAGATTTGGGGTTCACACGTGCCTCGTGTTTATATATATTAGAATATATATTTATATTAGAATGTATCATGACTTAGTAATGGCATTCTCTATATGTACCTGTATATATACCTAGACTTGCAACAGCATCTACCCTGATGGTGCCATACATCAAATGACCATTGACATTGTATTGAGATATGTCTGTTGAAGTGTTTTAACTGGACAGTAAGAAACCTTTGAGGCATTATACAAGTTAAATGCAATAATATGTGACATTGTAATTATAAGTCGACTTTTCCTCAAGTCATTTCACTAAGAAAACTTATTACTTCACTCGATTGACAGATGCCTGGAGTTATAAATTATGTGTTTGTCTCCAGGTGCTGTTTGGATATAGTTGCCACTAGTGTACAGAAGAAGATGGATGCCATGGAGGATAATGCTGACATGGAGATGAGAGACCTCAGAAAGCTCAAGGTATTATTATCAGATAGCACTCTGGTTCATCTTAGAATATGTTATGTTTTAAGGAATTTGACTTGTTTCCTCAAAATTGGTGGCCTATTAGTTTAACGAGCAGTATTTTCATTCTTTTATCTGTTAGATTATACTGTTGTCAGTGTGGGGATCACATACATGTCAAAAACAACTGTTCATATGAAGTAAAAATGTAAACTTGTTTAAAGTTGTACAGACAGTTATATGAAGGAAGTGAACAAGGTCTGCCCTGGTTTTACTGCAGCCAGTCTAGACCAATGTTGATGAAACATTATCTTCAGATCAGTAAAGAGTATAATGATAAGATATACATTTTTAATTCATTTAAGCAACCCATATGCCGGTGCCATACATTTTAGGCTTCCTTCTGTTTTGTCCATGATTATGTAATGTACTTCATATATCTTTTTTACTTTTCAGTCTGAATGTGATGAGTGGATCCAAACAGCCTCCTTGCTGGTTGCAGAGCTGACTGGGGAAAGTTTGGATTATGTTCCCAAGTCAACCCCTGCTCTTTCTCTGACCCCTCTCTCTGCCACCCCTGCTCCCACTGCCACCCCTGCCCCCACTGTTAACACACTGCCAGGGGAACAGACCCCTGCACCAAAGACCCCCCAGTCCTACCATGATAAGGAGAAGCTTGAAGTCCCACCTGGTACTCCAGGGACCGTGTCAACACCTGAACAACTAGCAAACCCTCAGGGACAGACCCCAGAAACACTGCTTGAAACTCAGGTAGGATTGGAATTTTTTCCCTTTTCATGGTGATTGATACAATTAATCACTCATTTATCACTTTTGTGTTTTAAATCTTTATTTCATTCAATAACAAAAAAAAAAAAATAGTCAACCAGGAACTATAATGTATGTGCAAATATCTTGTGAAACACTCTTGCTCTGTTTGTATGAACTTGCAGATACCTAAAACATTTGTATTCAACATGTATGTAATATGTTCTTCATACAGTAGTTTATCTTTAAATAAAATGCTGTAAAACTCAAATAAAGCTTACTCATCATAAAGATAAAAACAAGGTTGATACGAGACATTATATATTATAGGCAGCTGAAGATATATTGCCAGAAACCTCCCAACCTCAAGAGCCACAGACTGAGGCTCCTGTACCATTAAGTGTGCCTGCAGAACTGAGCACTGGCACTGCAGAGGGCACCACAGGAGGGGCCGAGGAAGGAGGGGCAGATGGAGGAGAAAATGCAGAGGGAGAGCAGGAGACTACACCAGCTGAAGGAGACCTAGAGAAGAAAGAAAAACATGTCACTATACAGGTACTGTAGATACATGTAGTCTATATATAGTATATATGTAGTCTATAGTAGATCGTCTATAGTATATATAGTTTATGACATAAACCAGACTGATATCATAGTCCATTTCTTGGTTAATTCATGTAATCATACTTTCAAACAAAATGCAGTTCTTAGCTCTTCTGTGATAAGATACATGTGTGAATGTACAAAATATTAAAATCCATCCAGTTGTCCATCCTTTTGCACTAATTCCTTAAGTACAGGTATGTGTTAGTCCTGTCATCATACATTTTGTTACTGCTGGCACCTATAGAACACTTTTTATTTCTCAAGGAGCCTGCATCTTTAACTCTCGAGATAATTGGCTTTGATGAAAACACCCATGTGAAACCACTGCATCAGGAGACGCACAGGAAGCCCATGGATGCTGAAGGACACTCACGCCCAGACACACCCAATACAAAGAAAGCATTTGAAGCCCTGGCAGCAGTGGACACATTACAGCAACAGCTGTTGTAAGAAATAATTTTGCTGCTTTTAATTTCCCATACAAAGTAAACAGCTCAATTGTCATCATAATGCTCTAAAGTTATAAGTTTTTTAGCCTTAGAATGGGAATGGGCTAATTTTTTCATTTTGTTTTTTAAATATTTTTTGTTTTTACTTAATTATAGTGAAACAGAAGAGAGAGCCCAGGCTGCTGAAGACAGAGCAGTTAGAGCTGAAGAGGACCTGGTAAAGACCCAGGAGTCTCTGAGAGCTTTACAGCGTAAAGTGGCTGAGCTAACTTTACAGATTGAGGGTGAGTCTGCTTCTTCAGCCCAGCAACCACAATCAGGTGCTGCTGCCACAGCTCAACAAACTCAGTCTGACACTGGCCCTCCTGCCCAGCCAGCCCAGAGTACAGCAGCAGCTGTGGTCACTTTACCAGCGCCATCTGCTGGAGCATCCCAGTCTCAAGGAGCACAATCAGAACAGGAAACAACTAAGCCATCCACCCCAGTCAAAGAAAAATCAGAAGCAAGAGACAAGCCACCATCAAAACCATCCACGCCTGCCCCAGAGAAGAAGTCAGAGTCCCGCCCTTCATCCAGAGCCAGCTCCAGAGGCTCCATAAAACATAAAAAGAAATAATCTAACCAGAGATTAAATTGGACATAAACAACTTTTCACAACACGGAATATGCTGTTGAGGCTTTGGATCATATTTATTGAAATGATGTATAGACTGATTATTTCTAAATTTATTAAAATAGATTTGATATTGTACACCAGACCACAGCCAGTAGAGGTACATTTACGTGCTGGGCCAGTATTGTAACAGCAGTTTACCAGCATTTTTTTACTTCCTAACTGAGGTAAACTAGTACAAACATCAACTGAAACATCAACAGACAAAAGAAATTTATTAAAATTGTTCTGTTAACAAACCGGCATAAATGATAAAGATGAAGGCAAGATTACTGCTCTTTTTTATCCATTTGCAGGGATCAAGATTTTCAGGTCTCTAAAATATAGATTTATGTATAAAATTATATCTTTTCCGGTCTGGAAATGACAGCCTGATTATGCATTCAGCTTCTGCCAATTCTGGGAACTTTACTGGACTATGCATGCCAAGTTTTTTTGCTGCTTTTGAAAATGGTATTTACTTCTTAATGTTGTAAAAATTATGTTTCTGACATTTTTACTGTACAGAGAACCAAGCAAAATTATACATGTGTACATTATGTAAATAAATATATATCTACTGTTTTTATAACAAAATTTGTCAGATATTTCTTGTGGCCTTTTCCTATTGATTAGATCTACAATTTTATTTCTAGTTTGTGGTTTGTTTCTACCACTTAATAATAAATGATTGACTTTTCGGAGGGGGGGAAATAACCACTTCACCATTTTGCCAATACGTTGAAATGTAGACTTTGGGCAAAGCCCCCTCTTACTGTTCTCTGTCTATACTTGTTTATACTCTATCATGTTGAAGATAGAAATTACAATCTTGAGTTAAACATATATCCATTTGTGAAAATTAGAATGAGAATAAATTCTTAATGGATCCGGATTTTTCAAATAGTATTACAGTATACCAGTACATGTCTAGAAAGCATTTTTTTTTGTTGGTCCTAATTAATATATAATATTATATTATATTATATTATTTATGCTGTTTACTTTGACCTGAAGAATGGAATTGTATGATTTGTTTGGCAATAAGGACATTCTCGAGATAACAGCAATGTAGCTATTGATTTTGCAGAAAAAAACTTTTCAAATTTCTACTAAATGAAAGCATAAAGCTTATCAGAGCTTTCAACTTTTGTGATTTATGTATTGTGCATTTAAAACCCCGTTTACACAAGTGGCTGTTGCATGGAGAACACTTTTGCCCCCCCCCCCAGGGTTACAGGGGATAGCCCTTTGGTAGTAAGGTGGTGTTCTAGTGATCTGAACGGTCTCCCAAAACGTCTCTCTCTCTCTCTCTCTCTCTCTCTCTCTCTCTGTTCATCGGCTGGCAATGTTTTTTATGCAAGTTCAAGAAAGTATTGAAAAGGTTGTGATTTCAACTACTTCAACTACTAAATACATTGTAAACAACTCTTAAAAATATAATAAATTCTATTTTACCACCAAAACGGTATTTAGCGCAGTTTTTCTGGAATTTGTGCTTGTCATCACATCATGTGACCTCCATAGATGGCTACAGTCTGTAGTAATCTATTTAAAAAAAAAAAAGAAAAAAAAACTTTTTAGAAAAAAAAAACAGGGACTAATTTAGAATGTCAGAATGGATGCATTGACCATTGGTTAATATGGACTTATGGTCCTTTACCCCAGGAAAATCCATTTTTGGCCAAAATGAACAGCTGTTATCGCCCTTTAACACGCGTTGATTAGAATATTCGGAAAAGCTGGTACTTATGCAAGTGCACTGGAAAGAAGAGAAGGCGTGTTAGTCTGTTAACTTGTTTGCATTTAGCGATAGTCACCGTGTACCAGCAGTTAGTGCACACGAGCTAGCTAGTGCCATAAAGATTCATTCTGAACGCACCCTAACAAAATGCATAGTAACTTTATCGCACTAACATTGGGGACGCGACCAGCATACTCCGAGACAGAACATTCCTAAAATATAAATAATTGTTCGTTTTCTTTATCTTACTATTTGGAGCAGTCATTTTATGACAGGTACTGTTTTCTAAATGGCTTTTTATCTTACTAGCTGTGCAGGTTGGTTTGACGATATTCGGTTTTAAACTACATGAAAAATGTGACTTCCCAGGTCATTTCCAGGGGCGGATTTAGGCCGTCTTCTGGGTCTTCCGGAAGACGGTCAGATTTCCAAGCTTACACTGACGGGTATCTTATTTTTGCTGTCGAAAGATGGTAAAAAATGGAGGATGGATCAGCAAAGATAATTTGGAAGACTGTCAGAAAATATCTCTGAATCTGCCCCTGATTTCTTTAAAAATATCTTATCTACCTCCATCCTGTCTCATGCTCTGTCTGGGTGATATCTGTGGAGACCGTCACAGTCATGGTTGAGATAGCATAAAAACCAAAACACCGCGGCCTATGATTTCCCTTATTAACAACGATTGTTTGGGATGGACCAGCTGGTGAATAGATGATAATCAAGTATAATACAAAAGAAAAAAGTATTTTAAGAAATTGTATTCTCCTTGGAAATGAAAAATAATACAATTAAGTCACAAGACTTATTAACAATAATGTACACGTAGATGTCAAAACTGACAGAAAGAGTGAGATTTAAGTAGTTTAAATGAACAGAAAATACATTCTTTTAATCTATAAGCAATGTTATAAAATGTTTTCAGGCTCTTAAGGTAGATCGGTCGTTACATGTTCCAACGTTCGAATTTTTTTAAAATTTTTTTTTGTTTGAAGAGACACCCAAGTACATAAAAAATTTGCAAAAAAAATTGGGGGTCACCGACCAAATAAGAGAACTAGCCCCAAATATGATACACCCTGCATATCGCACTAGTCCCCATTCAAATCAATGGGAAAATGTGTGTTTTCTCACTAAAGCATTATTTTTTATGACTTTCTGACGTTCGAATTTTTTTAAAAATTTTTTTGTGGAAAGANAATAAAACAGACCGAAGTGTCGTTAGAGACGATTGACGATGCGCTGAAATTGCGCAAATTGTCAAATTACGTAACGACCGATCTACCTTAAAAGAGCATAAGCATTACCATTTTAATAACATTTTAACATTTTTGTATAAGCCTACTACTGGTACTGTGACTATACAGAAAATGTAACTAGGGGCTTGATATTCTTAAGAATGCAAATTCACCTAAAAATGCCGTTATTTTGAAAAGTTAAATGAAATTCGCAAGAAGCTTCGTAACTTTAAGAAAAATAATCAAGTTGTCTTTTTAAAATTTGCACTCTTAGTAAAATACAGAAAAGACAGTAATTTTTCGACCATGTTACAAACAAGAGGAGACGTGTTAATCGGATTGCACTCGGAGAGAGTCTCCGTACAGTTAGTGCGCAGTACCTTGTACGATGGATACATTGTGAACGCCCCCTTTAAAAATAATTAACAATACAGATTTCTTTTTATTCTGTTTGCAAATAAAAATTCAAGGGAAGTGTAGAGTAACGACAACAGTTTCAGGACTTCCATCAAAAGTTTTCCATAAAGTACAGAGTTCTCAGTCATGATAATTATGCGAGACCCGGAGGCCAGAGAGTTACAAGTAGCCCACCTACTTGGCTGTAATCATTTCTCCTCTTGTTGATATTCAGAATAGTTTCGGAAAAATTATCTTCTTTCCAAAAAAAAAAAAAAAAAAAACAAAACAAAAAAACAAAACAAAAAAAAGAAAAACGCTTCTAACAGTGCGAATATATATTTTTCAATGATCGTTCCTACCGACAGAAAAACTAACATTTGCCGATGCAAACCTCAGAAAGGGTTGCCATAGTTTCTGTAGGTGCAAAGGGAATAGGACGCTTATAGTGGGAGGTTTACTCTAAAAAAGAAAGTGCACTTTGTAAAAGACTTTATTGGAGAGAGAGAGTGAGAGTATTACATTAACATTAGATCGTGGGTAAAATGTGGTATTAAACTACAACATTTTAGTGAAAAAGGATGTCCTATACAGAAATAGTGAAATTGTGAAAAAAAACTACAGAACATGATATGTGTGCAGATTTTTATTTTCCAGAAAATCCCAATGCAATCAATTACCAGTTGACTTTATTTTGACTTTTTATTGAGAACGTATGTCGTTTCTAAAATTAAACTGAATTGTATTCCTATTTTTATCGTAGACTAAACAGTTTTTGTTTTCATTCCTGTGAAAATTAATCTCCTACATAAAATAAATCAGTAAAAGAATTCTGGTGCAACATACATGAAAAGCGTACTTGGCTAAAATGCAATGGTGGCTTGACTTTTAATCCAGGTGTTTCGAGATAGAATCTATCTCGATGAAGGGAGAAGACGCTCATCATGTCACTAAATTCCAAAAGTATTTCACAGGTGACAAATTTAATATCACCTGGGGGTCCAAGATTTAGTCTAGAAAGGGAAGGGGTGAGGGCAAAAAAAAAAAATTTTTTTTTTTTGCTTGGCAAATGTAAAACAGAATTTGAAAATAATTTTCCTATAATATGTATAGCATACTGATGGAAAACGGCTTGTTTTTGTAGTTTTTTTTTTTCTTTTCAAATATTGTTTTGTTTTTTATAAAAATCTTTGGGAGTAGGTTGGGAGTGGGAAATTGGGTATTATAGAAGATACACGTATGAGGGGAGGGGTGCGGCACCCCTCTTAGATCTACTATTGAATAAGTGATCAAATCATAAAAACCCTCCTGGATTATATGTCGCGTTACTTCTTGGTGTTCGACACAAATGAAAAAAGCACCGTGTCCCGCGCGTTGGTATTTTACCATGCACTTATTATCCATTTTTAAAAGAGATTTATGAAAAACCTAACACGAAAAATCGCATAGAAGGATCTTCTATTTGGATAGTAGTTGAGGAACAAAAGTGCAAAGAGACGTGCATTAAAAACTATTTAACTATATTTTTTAATGAAAAAATTGTTTAAAACTCGTGTATTAGGACCTACTATTTATTGCGGTCAACGACTTGTCACACCTAACACATTTTCGTAAATTCTACGGTAGACGTCACAATCATGTTGAGACAATTATAGATGCGCTATGCTATTACCGCGTACGAAAAGTTGTTTTTAGCACAGTGGCGGATTTAGAGGGGGTCAGGGGGGTCCCGACCCACCTTTCGGTTTCTGAAAAATGTATCACACCAATATTCGCCTCTTGAAATTAGAATTTTGACTAGCTAAATCATAGTTCTTAACCGTACCAAAGGGCACTGTTTTCTCTCCAAAACACCACTTTTTTGACGGGGCCATTGAGCAGGCCCCAAACCCCACACCAAGGGGGGATTGGTCGGATTCACATCCGAGGCCTGTCGTTCCGCCCCCCCCCCCTTCTAATAATCCTGGATCCGTCCCTGCCCTCGGCCGTTCGCCAAACCCCAGCAGCTTAAGTCACAACAACAACGGCGCTGTGAGGGCGCTTTGAACTATTTTATCCACGCTTTACTGCAGTAAACCAACAAAATGTTACAAGAGCCAAGTAGCGCATTGTTTGTTTAATAGGATAGTAATATTTTTGTTTACAGTTATATTTTTGTTTCCCATCCACTTATCACCACAGGTCCTTGCTAATATTAAGCCCCTAAAGAA